AAAATACAAATTACCAGTTTTCCAGACCTGTTTCTCCTCTAGCATTGGAGCTCCTCTGCTGCAGATTGACAACCCCACTAACAGAGAGCATGGAGCCATGAGACATCCCTGCTGAGGGACACATCGTGCTCCTACACAGACCTTGGGAATTCCCCATTTTTCAGACAGCTACTGCTACCTGCTCCAGGGGACTGAAACAGCTGGGAGACCAATCTGCAAAGGGATCTCCCTGCCTTCAGGAACTTCACAAAATGCTTCCAAAGCAAAGAGATCACCCTGAGCCTGAAAAAGGCATGGATTTCCTTTGTGATGGTAAGAATTATGCCCTTGTCTCATATTACTTGGCTTAATGACAGAATATTGCCTTGTTTCATGGAAACTTTGAATATCTAGTGCAACATCAAATGGGGCAGAGCTTGAAAGTGGTCCATAAGTTTCAGTTATCCTATTTCTGTGCAGTGTTGTGAAACCATGTGTTGGCATTAACATTTTAGAAGTAAACATCCTTCACATAGCAAGAGAATTAAATATTATTGACACAAGTAAAATAGAATGTGTAGACTCTTTGTTTGGCTTTGAAAAGTATCATTTTGGGGTCAGCAGACAAATTTTGTCTTTATAAGGGAAAGCTCTCATTGAAAACACCGGCTATGTTCAATATGCAGTTTTGCTATTTAAAGTGCATTTCTGTAGCAAAGATTAAAACACTTTTATCATGTTCCATTTTCCTTACAAAGGATCAAAATTATATTCTAAGCCCTAAGTGCAAAGTAATAATCTTAATTTGGTAATTACTTTTTTTATTTTACTTCTTATGATGGACTATTTAATGTGAGAAAACTAATGTTGATGCCCAGAGCAGAGCAGCAATTTGTAGTGGTAACTGTATCTTCACTTTTTAAAGAAAAAAGGACCAGATCAGTTAGCTATACCTTCACTGTTTCAAAATAAATTCGTACTGTGTATAAAGGTAAGAAGAAAAAACAAGAGCTTTACAACTTGGAAAGACAGAGCTATAATTATTCAAGCTGTGGACCTAGAAAAAGCTAGTGGGGGATTTTTTCTTATGCATGACAAAATTCAACAAGCTAAAACTGAGATAATTAGTAATGAAATTCATACTTGAAGATATTTTTTCAGGAGAAAGCAGGCAAGGAGAAAGGTGTTCATGGGGAGAGGGTCAGCAGTCCCAGCTGCCAGCCACTTCAGGGCCCAGCCCTGACCTCAGCTCACTGCCCACTCCAGGCTGCCACCAACTCAGATGAAAAAATCCCACTTTGAACAGAGGATGGTGGTTTTGCAGTGCCATCTCTAACCCCCCAGCAGCCTTATTCTGTCTCAGAGCAACCCCGTTACTTCAGTTCTTAGCTCTAAGAAAAAAACAGACCACTGCCCACAAACCCTCTGACCCATCCTTAAAAGCAGAGGGGTAGCTCCTGCTGATGCCAACACAGAACTGACCAGAGCAAATTGTCTGACCCAGCCCCAGCCTCAGCCTCATTCATTAGTCCATGCTTAGCAGTGCTTAATGGCACATGCTCACCAGGACTCACCCGGGCACACCGACTAGTGCTGGCTGGGGCACACACACTGTAACTTATGCTTTGTGCTTGTACTGGTTCCAGTTCTTCGGCTGGAGGATTTGAGCTCACACTCTCAAGGCTTTCATTTAGCAACAAGTGCAAGAGAAATAAACTGTACTTTAATTCAGCTTTCCATGAATATGTAAGCAGATATGTGAATTTCTGATTTTTCTAATTACATTTGATACATATGGGGGTAAGGAGATATTGCTGTATACATTATTACAAAATTAGCAGAAAAGTAAAAGAATTACCTGTGGATTACAGGACAAACCAATTTGAACAGTTATGCAAAGCTCATGAATTGCAACAGAGACTTCATCCACCCTCAGAGGTGAAGAAATTCTGGCTTGCATACATTTCACAAAATTCAACATCAGCCAAAAGGTACTGTGGAAATTATTTGTGTTTTCAGAAGTCATGTTTCCTTTGGATAAGTCAACAGAGGGGCTGGACTGAGCTTTTTCGTTTGCAAACTCACCCTTCTACAGGTGACTGAGGCTTGGGTGGGAGGGCAGACCTGCCTAGAACATTCCCAGACAAGATGTCAGCGGTGTGAGCAGAAGAGACAGGCATGCAGCCCTCTGCCCCTTCTGAGCCCTTCCTTTTGACACTTCTTACTTTACCTTTATCACGTGAAAGATTCATAATTATGAAAGTGCCAACTCAGGGCTATCTTACTCATCGCTTAAGAATACTATGCTGCTCAGCCTAGTTGCTGGAAAACCTCCAGGCAAGCCTACGTCATTTACTGTGATGATGAGCACAAGGGAATATTTTTACAGGCCTGCCAGAGCTGAGGAGAGACTCTCACCCAAGAAGCACCTGTTCTCACTAATGCTTTAAACTTTTGCACTTGTGTCTCTTTGTGTGTGGTGGACTCCATTTGAAGGGCTCCCTTTGCTGTTTGGAAGTTGGGGCCATTGTTGGACAGGGGAGCTGTGCCTTCATCCCCGACACATGCCTGTGCTGGGGCCCAACAGCACTCCAGACAAGGCAATAGCATGGGATGGGGTGGCTGAGGGCAGGCGTTGCACCCAACTGCTGGAAACCAGGTATTGTCCCAGTGATGCCATGGAAAGCTCACTGTTAGACCCCGTTCTTAGTTCTCTGTTTTTCTCACTCACAAGAAACAAATGCTTACACTGTTACGGTATGAAATACTTTTAAAGCCATATGAGTGCATGGAGGGGTTCCTTCTGTTTTGTTGCTATGTGTTCCCTTGGAGACTCCTGCATGGCAATTTGCACAAAAACAAGTCTGTCTCTCAGTAAAGCATACCTCCCTTTAAAGGCCCTCCTCAACACTGTCAGAATAGCCAAATATTTCTGATAACTATGTACACTAGCTGGATGAAGAAAACAAAAGGATGTATCTGATCCATGAAGAACTGCTATACTCAGCTGCTTTCAAATATCTTCTTCTAAGGTCACTTTCAGAGCCAGGTCTAATTCCTGAAGCAGGAGGGAATGGGAGAGCAAAGAGCTTGCAGAAAACACCAAAATGCTAGGGATTATATCCTGTGCGTTACTGGGTGTTTTTTTTATCTAGAAAGAGCACTGGAAGGAGCTGAGGTTTCAGAAACCAAGCACATAGTCAACAATTTATACAAAGACATTTATATAAGCATGCCCAGACTGACCAGTTTAAACTTCATTTACATATGACCACATTAGTGAAGCTGCAGCCACACCTCTGGCAGCAACATTTTAACCTTTAAGCATTTCCACTGAATTATACACCTGTTTATAGTGTGAGTAACTTCCCCTGAAACCTGTAAACTTACAAGAGAGCGTGCATGTCAGTGTTTAAAAAAATCAGCCTAACACTCACCTTTGTTCATCTTCTTTTCCCATCTCAAACACTCACTTCAAACACAAGCTGCTAATAACCAGCAGTGATGACTTTATCCAGTAGTTTCCTATTTATGGTATTATGCCATTTAGACGTCGTTTTACTTAACATTGTTTTATTGAGTTCATTCTGTCAACAAAGCATTGTTTTACACTGAAGAATGAAGATGGCTTTGTTCATAGTAAGTTAGTAGCACATCTTAATGAGTTAAAATAGCATGAGGTAGTTGAAGGCAAATGCATATTTAAACAGTTCACTTGTGGAATTCATGTTGAGCCTTAAAAGACACTCAGGCTTTAAAAAGGAGGAAACCAGGTTTTCTTACAGGGAAGATGAAAAATCTTAAAATATATGAAAGGAAATAAAGAGAAGATTCCAAAACAAAAACTGCCTAATGTGTAAAACACTCCATGTTCTAAACAAGCTCTTTGAAAATAATTTCCTCACCTAACTCCCCAACAGAACCTGAACTCAGACCTTTATATTTCTCTTTGAAGGCCTGGTAGCAAATCTTGTAGGAACAGGTCTTCTCCTGAGATTGTCTTTCGTATTTCCTTCTGGTCTGTAAGTATCAGTCTGTAAGTATCTGGTCTGTAAAAACTTCTGAGGATATATTAAATAATTCTGGTCCTAACCAGAGCCAGGATTGCAAGGAGAAAGTATGCAGGCTATGATATAAATAGAAATATCAAAGCCTGTTCAAAACTTTGGTAGATGTTCATCTCAGTGTATAAACTCATCTGTTCTCTGTGGATGAATGGTATCTGTGAGACAGAATGAATATTTGGAAGAACAAGTGTGGGAAACTGAACAAGAAAGAAAATTCGCTTCAAGTTTTAAAAATACCAAGCTGGAACAGACAGAATGTGAAGTCCACCAGCTTTATAGCAGAATATACAGGTGGAAAAAAGCAAACAAACAAACAAAAACCTAAATCATACTTCTGCAAAGTTTGTATTATAGTAATAGCTAGGACACCAGTTAGGGAAAATGGCTGCATTATGCTTGTACTCCACAAAAAGAAAAGCCTCACAGAGGTTCAGAAGTCCTGAAGACTTAACAACCTACTCAGACCTACCTAATTTCTACTGCTGGGCAATACTGGCCCACTCCCCGTACACTTGAGACCACTGAGACAAGTGGCCATTAAGGTATTTTTTCCTGAGTCTATACAGATTATGGAAAAGCATTACAGCTCCTTTTTATTTTATGGCCATTTTAGCTGTGAAATATGAATAAAGGAAAATCTCCTGAAACCACTCCTGTAACAATGTAAAATTATGGAACAGAAACATGAGCATTAAAACACTGAAAGAAGAATATGTGCAATAACATCAATAGAAGTATCAAAGAGTCAGAGTTCCTTCCATCCTTTCCACATAAAATGAGAAGCTGGAATTGGCAGGTTGTTAGTAAAAGAGAAAATCGTTGCAACTTTATTGACAATTTCACTAGGAGTGATAAAGTATATCTATGAACATATTTGTTTTCAAAATTCCTGATCCTGCTATGCCACTCCACAGAGTCTGGTATTCTCCTTAAAAATCCTGCAATCTGTGATAATAAAAAGCCTTGTTATAGCTGTGGTTAAGGAGATGGAAAGCACAAAGTCTGAGAATAAAAGGAGTCGCCTCTCTGGTCCTACCCTAGGACAAAGCGGAAGTGATAGCAGAAGGAATCAGGAGTGGGAAAGAAATAGCTGCTTATTGTCAAGGTGTTGCCTGCATGATTGAGGAAAACACAGTGCATGACCATCGTTTCCCTGCCATCTTTACCCAGCACTGCTTCCAAAAAGCTGGGGATTGAGTTTCCATCTTCTGTTGTCTCAGTCACTTGACCGAACACATGATTTCTGGCACAAGGTCAGTAAAGCTTTAATTTATCTCTGACCCAAAACTGTTGAAGGCTTTGTGGGAGCTGCAAAAGATGGTATCAAACCTGGGCTTGAGGAATTTCTTTATTATTTAAGAACAAATATATTTTGTTGTGTTGTTTCGTTTGTAACTCACATAGGTGAAAGGATGCCTATTTCTTGCAAGATTCCTTTTGGCTAAAGAGGAGTAACATGACTCACCTAGCCTGAATTTAGGTAGTTCTGGGATAAATGGAGGCATGGGAAAATGTCAAGTGTGGGAATAAGGTAACAGTGGCTTTCAACCAAAAGAAAGGAGGCTAGTTCAGTAAAAAAAAAAAAGTTTTTAAAATGTCTGTTCCTTTTTCTACAAAAGGAGACAAGTATTTTCAAGTTACAGATTATATCAGAATGTATTGTTAGAAAGTTAGAAAGAAAATTATTCAGTGATAAGAAAAAATAAGCTCTTTATATTATTTGGGAAAAAAGTTAGGAAGTCTTCTTCATTGGGAAAATAGTAAATGCAATGGAGGTTTTTGGCTGTTTCAGTCTAGTTTAGAGGGGTAACAGAGGTTTAGACATGGCCTCTGGGTTTTTTGTTCTTTATTTCCAGAACAAAACTGGATGTCCCTGCACTCAGTCTCCACCTAGCATTACATTTAGCAAAGCTTTCTTTTCCTTTCTCCATCTTCATCCTATGGAGTGGATAAATTTTGCCATTGAGCATTTTTGTATAAATTATTCTAGGCAACTATAAATAAGTGCTTTATTTAGGTTCCTAAGTTCTTATTTAAATTATAAATATTTTAATTTGTTTATTTTCAATTGTCTTTGTTTTTTCAATTAACTATCCAACAACTTGGTTGTCTCCACTTTGAAAAGTTCACTGTGACATTGATTGTTTCTGTTACAAGTTGCCCAATTACTCCAGCATTCCCCAGAGTTAGCCAGAAATGTTTCCTAATTAATCTAGAGAACAAATGCGTGGCATGGTAATACAGGTGACTTCTTCTCAAGGGAAAAGTGAAATACATTTCTCTGAAACCTTTGCTCCTTTCCTTGGATTCACAGATAATTTCGAGAGCAACATCCTGGACCAAATCTTAGCAGAGAATCCAGATTGCTGCCAAACTCCCTCAGATAGGTGTTTAAAGTCAGCTTCATTCCATTTAATTGACACCAGCCTAACTCCATTCAGTATTGAGCAGCGCTTTCCTCATCAGAAAAGCACAAAACCTGTCTGGATTACAAGTGCAGAGCAGGACTGCTGACAGATGAATATATTGTTTTATCCAGGGAGAAGATATGGCTGCTCGTTGTTGTGACATATTCGTTTCAGGGAATTACTTATTTAGAAGAACTCAGAATGAAGAGAGCTGTGGATCCTGAAGTGTTTATGAATATTGTGAGTTGCTCCATAGAGTGACCTGGGGATGGAAGGAATGCATGTGTCACAGAGGAAGGGTTTCTAGGTGTTAGAAATAACAAGCTAGATAAGATACCTTTAATTCATCCTCTCTAATCACTCTCTATACTACTGCTTTCTCTTCTATTCTCTTCTTTCTGCATATGTAACAGAACATCTTATGTCTGATAGTAATTAAGGCAAACACCTTTCCTTAGCAAATCTTAAGATTCCTTTTAAAGATCAGTTTGCTATTGCTAGCACTATCCACCTGTCTGAAAGAATGACCATCTGGAATGTCAGCATTTTGTCATCAAAAATTCTAAGTAACTAGTGGCTTATGTTTTCTCCTTTTTGAATGACCAGCATAGATCAGAAATAGCCAGCTTTTCACAAGAGCACCTCTTTGCCAAGCAAGCTTGTTTAGATCTTCGGTTACTTGTTAAAATCTTGGGGTTTTTGTCCTGCATGACAAATTACATTGAGCAATTCTCTGAGTACAAGTTATAAAAAACAGTGCTCTTTTGTAACAAAACAGGTTTAATATTACAGGTCCAAAATAATACTTATTTCAGAGCATATAATCTCATAATCACTATGAGATTATAGTGATTCTTACATCACCAGAATGCAAGGGTTTGTGATTGTATGGCAGTACTATAACACAGGTTTTTTACAACAGATTTTAAATGAATAGTCAAATCCCAGATGTAACACAAAGAATGAAGGAAAACTGTTGTAGCTTTATGGGTTACAATATCCAGTCTGATATTGCCTTATTCAGATGTTTAATATATGTAGACTAAATCTGCAGTTGTATCTGCTCTCTAACATTTCTTCATTGTGAATATCTTATGCATATAATATATGAAATGGACTTCTGCAATGAAATGAATTTGTACTTTCTCTTCCAGAATGAGCTCATTACTTATAAAGGGTACCCCAGTGAGGAATATGAAGTGACAACAGAAGATGGTTATATCATTACCATTAACAGAATACCTTATGGTATGCAGAATCAAGGAAAGCCAGGTATAGTTCTTTAATACAAGACTAAGCCAGCCTAGAGAGGGCCCATTCTGGAAAGAGGTACATTATATATGTGAAATGACCATCAGAGTTTTTATACACAAGTGAAATTTTAGTAGAGAATCCTGGTTGCCCTGAACATCCTGCAAGATCAACATGATTTATGTCAATCATACCTATTTATAATAAAAATCCACTATAATATGAAGTATATATCCTCATAATAAGAGTTGATGAGTAAAAGCTATATATATATTAAAAAAAAAAAAAGGTAAAGGTTTTGATTTGCCCAGTCAGCCTGTTTTGAGAAAGCAGTTCCACCTTCTAATTTTGCTTTGCTTTTGCTTATACCTGGTTAATATCAGTGACTGATTCATATTTTGGGTAAAGGAAATCTCTGCAAACAATCTCACACCTTCATTCTGTATATCAGCATTGAGAATCTCAAGCTAATGCAGTAGAGCTGTACAAACAATGACCAGAGGGCGCCAAGCTAGTTTTTCCTGGCGTCAGGCAGATCTTTCCATAAATCCTTACAGAAGCTTAGAAGTTCTCTCTTTATAGAAAGAAATGTTTTATTCTTATGATTAGTTGTCTCCCTTTAAGTTGGTGCAGGAACAAATCACAGTATTGAATATGAGACATTAAGGTCCCTGAACTACCAGAAAATCAAGAAATTTTATAAATTGTTGTTTTGTTTCTGATTTGTTTTTCAGCTTTGAAACCTGCTGTATTTCTCCAACATGGATTATTGGGAGATGCTAGTAACTGGGTGACAAACCTGCCCAACAACAGCTTGGGCTTCATACTAGCTGATGCTGGCTTTGATGTTTGGATGGGAAATAGCAGAGGGAATCGCTGGTCCAGAAAACATCAAAATTATTCCATTGATCAAGATGAATTCTGGGCATTCAGGTAGACTGAACCATTGAAGGACATCTCCATTACCCACCCTTACATATTTATTTAAGCTGGCTAAATCAAGGATTTACATATGCTACATTTTAAAAAGTATTCTTTACATTCACTTTTGCTGAGGTGCCCCTATACATGCATCTGAATTTTAATAGTAGTAGAGACTACTTTCCTGTAATTACTGCTAGAAAAAGTTCTTCAAACTAGATATGTAGCACCAAAGCAGCTCAGAAAAACCTGCCAGTTCATGTCCAAGCCACTCCTCAGTTCTGGGGGCAGTTTTGGAGGCTATTTAGAAACAATACTCGGCCTATTACCATAACTCTAAAACCACTGAAGGAGGAAATTTATATAATTTTTGTGCTTATTTTAATGAACATCTGAAAATATACCTTTTTTTTAAAATGCCAAATTGTATAAAATGCATGATTCCATGGACAGAGCTCTGTTACTATATCACCAGCTTTTCCTTCTGTGTAGACCATTACAATTCAACCTAATATTTCCTGAAGTCCTCCTGTTGATGTCAAGGGAGAAAATACCCCAGAAAACCTTGAGTAGCATCTTCCATATCCAGTGCCAGGAAAACACAGAACCTAAAGTAACTGAATGATTCACTAAATGGTGCATGTTGTTTCTTTGCTGACAAGCCTGTAATAAAAATGTGAATTCAAATAGATTTTTAATAAATGCATGCCTCTCTCTCAATCTTCTGCCTGCAGTTTTGATGAGATGGCAAAGTTTGATCTTCCAGCAGCAATAAATTTTATTGTGGAGAAAACAGGACAGGAAAAATTGTATTATATTGGCTATTCACAAGGTACTACCATTGGTAAGTTACACACAATAGACCAATGTTTCAGAAAAATAGGAGTAAAATGTGATTTGATATACTGAATATACCTGGGGTTTTCACTACCTCTTTGCAGGTGTGAAAAACACAGGATAAGCTGTTTTCAGCATGTAGGCATTTTTGATTTACTATAAAGACAATAAAGTATAATGGGCCAATTACACTGCTGCTCTAAGTCTGTTGACTTGGAAGTATACTGGAAATTATTGTGGGCCATGCAAATTGTTTCTTTCTAAAATGCACGGGTGTGCCCAACAACAGATGGTTAGTTGACAAAAATAAACAAAATAAGAAGATGAGAGTACAGAAAGAGAAGTTAACCAGTTTGGACAGGACACACACACACACACACACACACACACACAATTACATTGGATTGGACAGAAGAAAAACAACTGTTCCTCCCAATAGTATATGAAATTCATGAATGTACATCAGAAGTGTGCATTTATGTTTAAATGGGTTTGGAAGAAAGCTGCAAAAGCAAAATACAGAAAGAAATTTCTCTCCGAAGAGGGAAATAAGACTAGAGTTGCTAATACATGGAAAGGAGGGATTTTATACAAATCTAGGCTGAAGCATAGTCTCTGAACAACTAACAACATTGCTTGTATGTTTGAAATTGCAGAATAGCATTTACAAATATTGAAAACAGCCTAATGTAGAAACGGTGATTTTTCTTAACTCTTCTTTTTTGTTTGCTCAGCTTTCATTGCATTTTCAACAATGCCAGAGCTGGCTCAAAAAATCAAACTCTTTTTTGCGTTGGCACCTGTCACTACTATTAAGTATGCAAGAAGCCCAGCAATAAAACTTCTCTACCTTCCAGAAAAATTGTTCAGGGTATGTGATATCTTGGTTTCAACTGTTTAACCATATACTTGTTTGTTCAGCTCTTAAAATGGATAAACAGAAAGTATAGGGCTTTGTGAAGTCTACTTAATTGCATGTGGGTAGGTTTAGCTTATGACTGAAGCCTTTGGAAGTTCAGACTGGACATTAAGAAAAACTTTTTATCTAGGGCAGTAGTCCAGCACTGGGACAGGTCACCCAGAGAGATACAGAGATGCTGATCCTCAAAGGTTTCCATGATTCCTGTAGACAAAGCCACAACTGATGTGCAAGCTTAGAGTTAAAATATGAATTGGAATTAGTATTTAACATATCTCTTCATTAAAAGTGATGTAACACAAATTGAGTAATGCCTGAGCAGGCTGATGCAATGGAAAAACATCTAATTTCTCTCCTGTTTGTGGGAACATCATCTGGCAAATGAAGAAAAAGCAGGTGAGAACCACTGAAAATGCTGGAGAAGAGGAACAGGACACAAACATCTTTTAAAACCAACAGCAAAATGTACAAGCGTACATTCTTAAACTAATGTTACCTTTGTATTTCACAGGGTTTGTTCGGCAAAAGAGAATTCTTTCCACAGACTGAGTGTCTAAGAAGGCTAATAGTCCCTGTTTGCAGGCACCGAGCTTTTGTCAGGCTCTGTAGAAGTATCTTCTTCAGTCTGGGTGGGTTTAACTGGAAAAACATTGACATGGTACGTATAACTCTTACCAGCTCTACTGAGAGTTCAAAAGCTTCTGCTCCCAAAACTTACCTTCTATCCTGTGGCATGAATCCTGAATTTCTATTAGTCAGCATCACATTGCAGGGAACACAGAACAGTCCCCACTACCAGAGAGCAATATCTGCTGGTTGCCCCATCACTGGCAGGGGACCACTGCCTCGCTCTTCAGAAGAGCACACTTGGCACAACCCCTACAATCAACAGCTGCTCAAAGCCTCCCAGATCTCTGCAGTCTGCTTCTGCCAGACCTCACCTGAGGCATTGTCTCCTGGTTCATACTGTGACTACTGGTCTCATCAGAGATCTTCAGTATGCTGGCACACCACAAAAGAAGAAATAAAACCCCTTTCTTCTTCATGTTTCCAGAAGCAATTTGCAAAGGAGAAAGGAACACACATATTCCCCCTTGTCCTCCTTCTCCAAGCTTTGGACTATCAGGGGTATGCTCAGAGGCACGGAATGACTAGGGGGTACCTGAGAGAGTTGGCAGACACTGAGGGTTAGGACATACTTGGACACCTTATGCTATGTACAGCTGTAGGTCAGACCACCTGGGCATGAAACTTGGGTTCCAGAGTTTTCAAAAAAATGCCTCAGAGCATGTTCTCTGAGAAAGCATCACACAGCAACTTGTTAAGAAACCCCTGCAGGACTAGGGTGTATTTTATTTCAGTGTCATGCATTCTTCAGGCAGTTGCAGTTCCTTTTGCTGTTCTCTCCTACAGTGATCCTCTCTCACATAGAATCTGTTACAGACTCCTGAAGAAAACCACCTAGTCTGGGGTCTAAACTGCTAACTTTCTATTCTGTCCTTTCCACCTGTAGAGTCTTTTAGATTCTCAGTCATCCTGCAAAATGCTCTGGTTGGGAGTTGTTCTTTCGGTGCTACTCCAAACCTGACACATCGTCACATCTGGAGTAACTCTGAGGGGATCATGCTACTCAAATTTCTGTTGGTTTTAATAATAAATGACACTGCTGTGAAAGATGTTTTGATGTACATCTGGATAGAAGGGAGGAAGAGAATACTCACTGAATATTTTCTTTCAGAACCGAATCAATGTGTATATTGCACAAACCCCTGCTGGAACTTCTGTGCAGAACATAGTCCACTGGAGTCAGGTACTAGCAAACTACTGGAAGGCAAAATAGGTACTCACCTCTGGCTGAATGGTATAGAGTGGGTATAGCTAATATCCTGCTGTGAAGCTGTTGCTAACTTCTTGGAAACACAAGCTATTTGTGGTTTACAATTGAAGTCTCAATTCAAAACACTATTTCTCACTGATTCTTCTTTTGCCAGCAGGATAGAAATACCCTATGTGTTACAGGTATATTTGAAGCAAAGAATGAAAAGCTGTATTTGTATAAAAACATATGTGCTGGAAGCTGTGTACACAAATGTATATATCACTCTTCTTACTGTATATCCAGTACCTTTATAAATTATTTCCACTGTTCGGTAGAGAGCTTACCTTAAGAAATTAGTTATGTTTCCAATGTGGAGTCAAGATATGAGCAAGACATAGGTTGCTTTGTAAATTATCAAAATTTAGTTGTAAGAGTCCTTGTATTTTCATCTCTTGTTTTCAAAGCTCTCACTGTCTGGACAGCAATAGAACTGTAAATAATAAACTCTTTATTTAGTAGACTCGCTATATCCCTCACAAGGTACTGTCACAGTACATCCTCAGCAGCAGTGCTGATCGAAGCTGCCTTTCTGTCTCTGGGCTCACACTTTCAGGATTCATAAATCCTGGGCTCAGTCACAGAAGCTGCTGCACACAACGCAGGTTTCCTGGCAGCACTGCAGGCTCTGGAGCAGAGCTGGAAGCTGCTGTGAGCACAGTGGGCTTGCGAGGTGTTAATACACTTTTCAACATAACAAGCACGTGGATATGTTTGAGTGACATCTGCACAGGCATTTACTCAAAATTAAACAATATTTTGGTCTGTGAATTTACATAATATATTAGATTTGACCAAGTTGCTTTTGTAACCATAGCCTAGACCTGTAAAGAAAAAAGATTACAAAGGCACAGTGGGGGGGAGCTCTGCAAATTGACTCAGGTTAATTCAGCATCTAGCCATAGACTGGCAAGTACAAACATGCAGGATACTCCTAATCCTTCATTGTCATTGCTGTTATTACTATTAAAGGAGTTAACAGACACCTTACCATCAATATTAAGATCCCATTGATGGTATCTCTCACAGTAGTAACAACTCATGCTGTAGGCAAAGCCAAGGAGCACAAGGGAAGAACTAGAAATGGTGACTTCTGTATTCAAACCAGAAACAGAAGAGAAAACGTAAGAAGGAGCCATCCACAGAGCTGAGAGATGGCACTATGACTGTCCGAAAAGGACAGGGCAGCAGCAGTGAGGGGAACTTGCTGGAGGCAGTTGTCAATAGCAATTTTTACAAACTAGAACAAACTGCCTGCAGGACCTTCTCTGGGTCTTTCTTCAGGAGCCATGATTTTTTTGGTTCTGACAAAACATTTGACTCCTTTTCACTGATTAGGACTTTTAATTAATTTACCGTTGCCTCTTTTGTAGCTCTTAGAACTTCCACTGAGGCTTTATGTTGGAGTCAGAGGCTCATCAGGGTAAGAATTCCCAAACTTCCTGAATTATGGCTTTGTAACTGCCCTTCTCTTGTTTATCCTCTTAGGAGGCCCATTCAGGGAAGTTCCAAGCTTATGACTGGGGCAGTTCAAAGAAGAACATGGAAAAATACCAACAGGTATATTTCGGTGAAACAATACTATCACCCTTGAACAACACAGAAGCACACAGGAAGACTGCAAGGATGTAGTAGGAAACACATTTTCAGAATACAAATAGATGAAAGTATTACTACTTTCCAGTTTGAAGTCAACAGAGAAAGAATGCAAGCACTAATGGCTATAATAAATTTTAAAAAGAAAAGAGACAGAGAGGGACAGAGAGAGGAAGACCAAAACTTTTCAATTAAGTGATCAATAGGAACAAGAAGAGTAAGGACAGAAAGCGAGAAAATTAATTTTGAAGAAGAGTACATCTAGTGGATAAGACCAAAGAGGCATCTGCCTACTAGTTGATTGAAGCAGTTGCCAATGTACGAGAGCTCAAGGAAACAATATTAGGAAGAGGGCAACTGGAGCGCTAATAGGTACCCCTAGATTCTGGCAGCCAGAGATTAAAAGACTGTCTTCAAGCCGTCCCTGAGGAACCTCTGTTCCATTCAAATTCAAATCCCATCCTTGACTGTTCTCCCCTTTAGGTCTCCATAACAGCCTATTATTACAAGTTACATGTTTTAATGATGCCTTGCATGAAACTCAACTTCCTTTGGTTTGTCTTGAATTTGCTTGCCCCTGGAAAGTCACTTGATGCCTTCTAAGTTTTGGGTTATGAGAAATAATGGGATAATTATTTCCTGTGCTCTTTCTTATACCATTTGTGATTGTATAAGCCTGTCTCCTGCTCCTGCTCTGGCCTCTATTTTCCAAACTCAGGAGTCCCAAGCTACTTCCCCTCTCCTCCTGCAGAGCCATTCCATGCTACTTTTCATCCTTGTCACATATGTTTTCTGACGACCCTATAAGTCTTCTGTGGCTCACTAGTACTCCAAAAGGACCAAAATGGGACTTTATCCAGAGGCATCTAGACATTTTCTGTCTTGTTCCAGGTTCCTACCCTATGAGTTCCTAGCTGAGAGAGCAAAGACCCAACAGTAACTCTTTGCCACCTCACGAGGTGTTTTTCCTTTGGCTGTGTTAACAGCTGTGTCATCCCCATAAGCACAGACAGAAAAGGCAAGCAAGGGCACTTCCTTCCTGTTTGGTTTAGGCATCTCTAGTTTGAACTGAACAGAAGAAAGAGGCAAATGCATGTTTAAAGTTTGCTGTGCTTTCCTGGACATCCATTCCTGTACTGCTTCATGTTTTCCAGGCTACTCCTCCTCTCTACAATGTAGAAGAGATGACTGTACCTACTGCAGCATGGACTGGAGGACAAGACTTGGTTGCAGATCCCAAGGATGCTGCCATTTTACTGTCTCAAATTAAGAGGCTCATCTATCACAAGACAATTCACGAATGGGCACACCTGGATTTCATCTGGGGATTGGATGCACCTTTGCACATGTACAATGAAATTATTGATCTGATGCAGAAGTATCCTTAACCCACAACCACTAACCACACCTCACTCATTCAATGACATTTGCTTTCACTGGGTATGCCAAAACTTTCTTTGGCATCAGATGGTTCCTGCTGGAGTCAGAGGAAGGGTTCCTCCTGATGCTATTTTCACACCACATGTCACCGCAATGTCTTTTGCATCCTAATAGTGTATTTCATATTTTCTGACAACCTTTTGGGTCAGTAATCACTTTTTAATTGATACAACCTAGATTCTGCAATAAGCATACTTTGCTAACAAGAAGACAGTGTTTTCCTGAAGCTTGTTCTCTTTTTTAGACCCTAACAATAATGAAAGCACTGACTGTCTCTGGATATGGTCAGTGATCTCAAGATGCTTTCCATTCTTCATATCATTTCTCTGTTTATTGAGCTGGCAGTTACTGAAAGGCATAGTGTAAGCCAAGATTAATTCTAGCAGTTACGTTATTGATTAATTTTATTATTAGATGAGATGATGACCAGAAAATAAAAACTGAGTTCACACAAGAAACTCCCTCCTGAAAAGAAGATGGTTTGTCTCCATTTGAAATGGGGCTGCTCACTTTTTTCTTGAGGCAAAACAAAGGACACAGAAAGGGTAGACTCAGCAGTAAACAGTAGCCAGTTTCCTGGTTCAAGCATGGACCTGGAATATGGGAAACTTGGGTTCAAGGCACCCTCTTGAGACAGACAGAGAAATTTTGTCAGACTCAACCTCTGCTGACAACACTTTCAGGATCTGTGTACATGAACTCTTCAGGGTGAGAGAAAGGAGCTGATTTCATCCTGGCAATGACAGCACTTCAATGTGACACTGGTTCAAAGTTATACTCTGAACCCGGCAGGAACCTCATATCTCCTGCTATTTCACATGGAAGCTACTGGCTACCCCAAAGCTGAGCTGTTCTAACCTTTATCATGGTTCTGAGAAGCCTCTTTGGGGTTTAAACACTAAAACAAAAAGTACCCAAACATTGCTAGAAAGAATCCATTATCTCCGTCCCATAGGTATTCAGAGTGCTTTGCCCATTAGTGGGAAGGGCTGCTTTGAAAACAGTGCTGAAGAAACTGTCATCCTATTTAAGTTCCTGAGGGAACTCTGGCTCTACCAATCTTGTTTCAAATAGGTAGTTAGTGTACAAAGGCACTCACTTGAAGGGTAGCCTCCATGGTTATTAGGTTACAGCATTATGGGTCACTGTCCCTTCACAATGAAATGCCATTAGTTTCACTGTGAAAAGAAACACAGTGCATTTAGGGATTTCCTTTCAGCGCTGACACCCTCTTTCTCCATTTAAATCAGATGTTAGCGTGGGCCAAGTCTGGGATTATAACCAGGGCAGAGAACAGCTGTTACACTAAGACAGTTCACTGGTGACATTATATGACCAAAGGGTCAGTGTTTCACTCTGCAAAATAGTTCATTAGCTGAACAAATTAACCATGGCTGATAGCACTTCTGTCCCTTTCCCTTCCAAGACAAACAACACGCATGTCTGATCACCTGAGCCCACTGCTGAAGCCTGTCCTGTTTCCTTGTGCTCCATGAATGTAAGTAGAATTTGATCCAAACAAAACAGCTCCCCTCCAGACAAGAGCATTCCTTACACCAAATACAAATTCCTGGGGACAAATACCCTCCAGTTAGCCTCAATGCTTGCAGGGGAAATGCATGAGGACTTTAGACCTACTTTATGAATTTTCAATACTTACAATGGGAAATGCAATAGCAATATCCCTGAAATAAGCCAGAACATCCCATAAATTCACCTACAAAAGAGATTGCTGCTGTGCGGCTGTCTTGCAATCTGAGAGACCATAGAGAAGGCAGGGTGTTGAATTTTCTGGAAAAATCAGTAAAAACAGGTTGGGCAAGCAGCATTGGAAACATCCAGGGGACTGTTGATCCCACTCTGGGACATGAGGAGGGACTAGACATCATGTTAAAGAAGCCCTTCTGAGTGATTAATTTATGGTTTGATGAAAGTTATTGTCCATTAGAGACATCAGAGCAGCCAAGTTTTTTAACTGAGAAATTACCAAATTACCTTTTTCACCATCCCAAACAATGTTCTCTACTTTGTACATAAAGCAGAACTGTTACTGTGGCTTCACTGACATCCCATTCTTATTTCTCTCCTTCCCCCACCACCCAAAGACATAATATCATTTGCAACAGCGTTCCCAAGTACACACCCTTTCATCTGGTTTTCTTCTAAATGCTCATCAGACCATGATGAAACGCAAGTTCTTCTGAAGACACTTATGAGTTAATTGGCTGAAAAGGCTGGTCCTTAAGTAGAAGGATTCTACTTTGTTTGTAGCCCAGATGTCTAAGAACATGGAACGTGTCCTTCTGCCCATGGTCATCAAGCCAATTTCAGTGATGACTGAGCCCCCAGGGCTGACTAGAACTAATTCAGCAGTTAAGCAAAAATACTGTTTTCAGAGTTTATGAAAATGGCTTGGGAAAAACAAGAACCCTTGTTTGCCCTCACTGATAGGGAGGTTATATGAAGCCTTCTTTGGAACCACCTACAGAAACTATGTCAACTCTGAGCAACTAATGTAGAATAAGATGGGTTTCATGAGTTGTGCTGCTCACTGATAAACAGACTTAGGACATTCTGTAATGTTAAAGTTAACATAAACCAAATGAAAAGCAATAGCAGAGACATCTTGAGAGAGTATGCTGATAGAAGCTGGACACTTCCTCGTCTTCATTCTGTAAGATTACATTCAGAGCAGCCCCTTAGTTGGGCAATAGCACAGGTCAAGGTCTGCCACAGCCTCAGGGAGCTGGAACACCCAGGTCCCAGCTAAACATCCTAACCACTGATTTGCAGGTACTTTTAAAACTCTCTTGCTCCATGGTGCATGTTGGGTTTGTGAATTTAACTAGATCTTTTTCATCACAAAGATTTCCTCACTTCTGAAGCACTGCCAAATCAGCACATAAATACGCTCTACAATACACGCTGCCAACACATGACACTCACAGCTGCTACCCTGAAGTGCTCATTATGTTTTGACTTCCTTTTATTAGCGCAGGTTTCTGCCAGTGAATCAGTCTGCTAGTGGAGACAGACCAGGAACTGCAGCAGAAGACACAAGTAAGGCAGTTAAAGCAGAGGTAAGTTGCTTGTACATATGTATTCATGGTATTTTTCTCTGTTGCCTGTCTCTATAAAGATGTTCAGTCTTGATTTTGTGCAGCTGATTCTAAGAATAGACAGCTTTTTGTCTCTCTGAACATTAAGCCAATTGCTAAGCACAGAAGTGTATATTTGCTTAGGTTAGAAAATGAAGAAGTTCGACCTGCACAAAAGAAAGAAAAAGAGCAACTATTTTATTTTCCTCTGCTTGTTTTCTTCAGTCTGAGAACAAGGGAATGAAAGTCCCAGTATTGTAACAGTGTGTGTAAACTGGACCTCCTGCTCTCACAGTGTAATGCCCCCATTTGTTTTGTTAGTGAGTAAGGCAGCAGATTCTCATGTGCATTTAGTCACAGTTGCTTCTCTGGTTGATGTGTGTATGCCTTACACCTTATATGAAATAAATTTTAGACTGCTTAAAGCATAAGGATAGATGGTTGAATTTCTGAAGGCTTGCATCTTAGTTTCACTAAATCTTAAAAGTACCTAAAGAACTTTAAAGGGCATTTCTCTCTCTGACCTTTTTTCCACCTAAGTATGTTCTTTTATGACAGTTTACCATGACCAATATTTCCTTATGATTTCATTTCACTAGAGAAAAACAGATATTCACATCTCCTAACTGTCTTTATTCCTGAAGATTAAGGGACCAGTGGCCTGCCAAAGTTGGTATTACTTAGCCCGCTGCATCTGATTAAAAAAAATGAATACCTGGAAGTCCATGAGCCATGCCAGCAAAGCCAGGTGATCATAGAGTGCATGAGAAGAGTTTGCCCTAACAAGAGAAATAATCGAGCCTCTGCATTGCCTCAACTAGTCTTGGTAGTGATTTGAAAACAAGCTGAGACATTAGCAGAATTTATTCTTCACAAATGAGATTCCCCATGCAGGGAGGGGGAGGCATATTTTACTCCCATTAGAACAGAGTAAAACAACAGAAAGCAAAAAGAGTGTTATGCTGACTGAGTATGTAGTTGTGAGGCTTCCTGTTTGGACAATAAAAATTAAGAAATATTTAAGGGAATTGAATAGAGTGTGGTTTCATGCCAAGTTTAAAGTTTTGGGTGTTTCCAAATGGTGCTTCATTCCAACTGTCTGATGACTCATGGGATTTGATTTCTTTAAATTAGTTCAGTCAAATTTAAAGGTTAAATTGAAGATCAGAAAAAGTTGAAACTTATTCTCCTATCAGGAGATTTAGAGTGTGCAAAAATCTCTTGGTTACCCTTCCCTCAGACCCACAAATCCTGCTCATCCTCCCCATTACTTGCCAGCAAATACTCTCTTATTTTCTCTTGATCTGTAGCTCTATTTCCAATTCCTAATAAACTTCATAAAGCAGCATGTCTCATCATAGCAGATGTCTTATGCTAGAAGCAGATTCCAGAAACATGTGGCTGCATGAGAACCTCTGCTCTTCATTAAAAACTGTATTCTCCATGTCTAGTGGACCTAGCAAAGCTTGGTTTCAGAAAGACTTGTTTCCTGAGTCCACTTAACTTCTTAATGCAAACTATAATACAGGCAGGTCTCCTATGAAATTCTCTCACAAACCCTGATGCCCTGTGCTTGCTGTGGCTACTCTGAAGTTACATTGATACTGACTAGTTGGCTAGTTCACTCTTGCTGACTGCTCAGCTGGTTGAAGAATGCACAACAACTGCCTTCAGCCTGCCTCCCCCCACAGCAAGGCAATAACCCCACTGAACAGTCCTCCCCCAGCAAACAGTCCTCAGGAGATCCTGCAAACCCCATTACCTTACAGACTTGTATCTCAGTGCTGAACTTGGCAGATATTTACCAATGACATCAAAAGTTAATTACAGGATGGACAGAAAGATAAGCTCACATAAACATGCCCTCTTTTTCTAAAGAAACCAAGCCTACAAGAGCAATAATGTCCCCAGCCATTAGAGGTGTGGCAATCTTACAAGACTCCTTGATGAGCTGAAGCCTTACGTTGCATTACATGTCCTTTTTGTCCCATGGATTCTATTGTTGAACACTTAGGTAGCCTGCCTGATCTTTGTGGTCTTTATCCACATGTAGAATGGCTGCTACTTTTCTCTTCACAACCCTCATTCTCTTCTTACACATGCAGGCACAGCATACAACAATTAGATGTGTAAGGGCTTTTCCAGAATGTGTAAACCGAGTCCAGAGCTTCATGGATGCATCCCATTTGTACAGTTCTTCACATTGGAAAGAAAAATCCTATCCTACGTAGTTGCAGCTCTTTTGTAGGCAAGGAGCACTGAACATGTCAGTACTTCTTTTGCTCTCCAAACAGTTTTAACTCATAGTTCCACACCCAGTAATCTTCTGGGACATAGAACATAGAACCTGCTCTTCCCTTGTCTAGGAAGCATTTGAGACAAAATTTGCATGTTGAAAAAAAGGTCTGGGAAGCTCACAGAGAGCAGTGCTCCTGCACTCATTGACTGGATTCTGGAAAATAAAGACTAAAACTTGGAAGTGTGTCTACTGTAGGTTGAATTGGCATAAACCAGTGCTAGATAGACTGCACTCTGCAATTTCTGTTCAGAAAGGCTAAAAAAGCCACCAGCCAATCCAGGAAAGGGCAAGATCTTACCTTCCATAACCAAAAGAAGATTTGCAATATAGACAACCATTTCTGAGATAAAGGAGACAGGCCCTTGGCAACATGAAGACAGTTTCAGGATCCATTGTTTACTGCTCTAAAACCAAATAATTCTGTGGTTTCTTGACTGGTGGCAACCATCAGCTTTGAGAGACAGAAACTTAGAGTTCAGAAGTAGCAGTAGGAAAAATGCAATTTTCTGGGGATAGGAGAGCAGGTTCTTGGAAGAAATGGGTAGCCAGGGGCTGGTGAAGAAGCCCAAGGGGATGGTAAATGGAGACCTAGGTTACTCAGTTTCAATCTGAAAGACATGGTCGACTAGGAACTGACTCATGGGGCTTCTGGGGAGCCACACAAGGTCATTTTGTTTGCTTCATATTCTCAGCAAAACTAATTTCAAACAGAACTTGAACCTGGTCTGGGGCACATCACCTCATGGTGAAAGCACAAGCTGGCACTGATCTGGTGAAAGCATGCTCCCCTAAACTCATTACGTCTCCTCCCAGAGTCCCTGAATCACCCCTGACACTTGCACAAGCCTTCACAAGACTCATTGCACCCCAGCACACTACTGACCAGCACCAAGAATGGCATTTGATCACAAAGAATGAGAGGGTAGGTAGAAAGAGAGACTGTCCCAAACCTCTCTCACCTCATTCCTGAGGAGACAGGACAAAAGTAGTGCTTTCTTCTCCTTTCATGTCTCCTGCTGGAAGAGAAGCGGAGATAGATAAAGACAGACAAGCTGAGTGATGGTCATCTCAGGCACTCATGCTTCTTTGTCAAGCTGCTGCTTGACTCATGCCAAGACCTTGCCCTGTCTACCAATGACAGCTCCCTTGTCATCTGCAGAGTTTCCAGGAATATTCTCACATGGTTTCCCCAAGTGTTTTCCTCACCTGTTCTGCAACCCTCCAAGTCACACAGCATGAGCTATGGACACTCTTTCCTCACACAAGTACTTATTCTGGCAGCCTCTTAGGGAACAGATCTTGGGCAACCTTCAGGAGACTCCCCAGCTGGGTCTTCCTGTGGAATTCCACAGCACACTCTTCCTAATGCAACCACCCCTGCATGTGCTCTTTCACACAGCCCCAAGATGTGGTGTCTCCTCGTGTTGCTCTGCTCCCAAGGAATTGTCTTTTCAAAAGGATTCAGAACACCCTCCGCTCTGAATTCAGACACAAGCCAGTACAGGAAGACTCGCAACCCTGAATGCTTTATGAATGTTGTAAGTTGGGTCACCTTCTCTCACTTTCTTTCTAAAGCATCTCTCCCAGTACCACTACCACCCCATCACTACAGTCCCTGTCAGGAGGATAATAATGGCCCCTTCCACATTTTCTGTTTTGACAACCTGCCTTTTCCAAAACCACTGCATTAGAGTCACCACTGCAATGAGGTCTGGCTCTGAATGTGCCAGGGACAGATGCCACTCTTGCACACTGCGTGAGGACAGACACATAGCACTACAATGGAAACTGCTGGTTGCTAGTTTTGGCTCTAAGGCCAGGCAACTCCCCAGAATCTCATGAGGGGTACTGGAGATATAGGCTACTAATTTTGACCCCAGCAACAGAAATCAGCCCTGAACTGTGGCCAGAGCACATATCTGATCCAGTCCATATCAAACTGAACAACAGACAGCCTACATTTAGGATGAACCCCAACAGATATATGATGAATACAAAGCTGGGCCATGCCTTATGACACTTGTTTGCAGTCATCTTGCTTAACACATGTTGGTATTTTGGGGTACCATACAAAAATGGGAAGGGTGCAAATCTGTCAAGAGAACAAAGATCCCTCCAACACTATGATAGGGAGTATTGGCCTAGAAGAAACCTTGATATCCAAACAGTCCAAGCTACCACAGAATTCCTTTGCAGTGGAGGCAAAGACTGATTTCTAGTCTCAAGGGAAGCAAAGTCTTCCCCTTCTGTAACAATCCATTTGCTCAGTACAGTGCCAAGGGAGGTTGAACCCCTTCCTCAAACAGAAGATTCTCACAACACAAAGTAATCCAAGGCACCTTGCTCTGAATCATCAACGATTTCCCCACAGTACATGCAAAATCAAGTGTAGGTGGTCTCATGAGTTCCCTATTGACAAGAGCTCCACCCTTGTTTGCCATGTCTTCATGGCTTGCCTAATCACACTTTGGCAAGAAAGGATTCATTATGGACCAAAACCCACAGCTTTTGGCACTGCCTCTACAGATACTGTTACATATTTAATCTGTAGAAAGGTATGATGTGTATCAGCCTTGCAAAACATGACAGACTATCACCCAAAAGGTTAGTGGATCAATACAGTTCTGTCTTGTCCCATAATATGGGGTCCAACCAGACAACTATGACCTAAGCAGATCTGAAAAAGACTTTGATATATCTTCTTACAAGACCTGTAATACTTATTCTCATCCAGGGTCCCTGTGGCCAGGGACCTCACACTGCCATCACAGAGCAGCCACATCCACGCTGCTCAGCTTGATTACCCCCTGAAACAGAACATCTTGCATGCTAACAAGATCTCCTTTGGTTTCCCACAGAGTGAAATCATCAGATATCATGGATACCCCAGTGAGGAATATCAAGTTACCACAGAAGATGGATACATTCTTGGTGTTTTCAGAATTCCTGCTGGGAGGAACAACCAAAATACAGGTGTGACACAGTTACAGGACATAAGGAAAGTCTGAGAGCCAACACTTACATGGGTTCCCCATCTTTCCCCTTTGCACATTCAATGGCATGTTCCACACCTTTCCATCTCAGCAAGAGCACCTAGTCAGGAATGTGGCCTGAATTCTGAATCCATCTAAAGGCCACACATTCAATGTCTCCATCCTTATTTCAGACTTTTCTAATAATTTTGTCATAGTTTTTTTCTCTCAGTTTGGGGAGGTTTTGCATTAACACCCTAAGTAATATACATTTAAAATAGAAACCTGGCAACAAAGCCTCTCAGGTTGGGCATATGAATATTAATTCCTAGCCTTCTGAAGGACAGTGATATTCTTAGGAAAGTGGTAAATAATCAGGTCATCAATGAAAAGCAAATGCATTTCATCTGTTTCATCACATTTTCTGAATGGAATAAAATTTTATATCTGGAATTCAAGGTACCCTGTATACTGCTGCTTTGTTTATTACTCCTTGTTAGAATTATAGAATATTTTTTTTTTTTTTTAATGACTCCTACTATTTGGATCTCCTCCCTTGGAGATAATCTGGACCAGCCTCACTCTCAAAGTAAGGTTAAGCAAAGTTTGATCAGGGACCTCTCAGCCTTGCTCTTATTGAATAGACCTACAGGTAGATATGCTTCTTTGAATTAATTATTATCTTCCATACACTGTTACGCCTTCAGTAGTTTTCATCTGTGGGTAGATGATTTCTATATAGGAACCTGTAAGTTTTGCCGTCCAGTGCAATAGGAGGTGGGGATAGGCCTCTTCATTAGATTCTTTATTTGCCAGACCTGTCATGAAATGGTTATGAAATGTCATGAAATGATTCTTGCCTGCATGGAACAAATCCTTCAGGTTTCTCAGACCAGTATCTATGCATAGTTTTCCTGGGAGCTTCTTGAAGATGGAAAGATTTAAAAACTCTCACAAACTAAACTGTGAACCCCAATCTTAAATACACAGTAACTACTGCTCCAATATAAGAATACTTTCATCTTTTCCAGGGCAAAAGCCTGCAGTCTTCCTACAGCATGCTTTTCTAGGAGATGCTACACACTGGATTTCTAACCTGCCCAACAACAGCTTGGGCTTCCTCCTCGCAGATGCTGGCTATGATGTCTGGATGGGAAACAGCCGAGGGAACACTTGGTCTTTAAAACACAAGACCCTTAATCCCAGCCAGAAAGCGTTCTGGAAGTTCAGGTACTCTGTAGAGGGAGAATTACTCAAGACCGAAACTCCAAGGGGACTAGATAGTTTCAGCCTGATGGTTTTTACCTAAACCAGCATCAGAACAGGGTCTACACCAACAAAGGAGAGTAAAGAATCAGGCAAAGAAGCTTACTACTACTACTCAGAGTTGGGAGCATCGGCTGGGGAAGAGATATCAGACACTGGGAAATGAAATGGGATGCTGAGGAAAAAGGAGACAGTACTATGAGAGGGAGATCAAGAACCTCAGCTGGAACAGGCTGAGCAGCTTTGTCCAGAAGTGTCATCTCTCTCAGCTGAATTCAACCAAGAGAGAAATGTGTTTTGTAACCCATGCTAGTGAAATCACTGATAAAATTCAGTTCCCCAAGGACTGCAGCTGACAGGTGAAACTGGCACCTCCTTTGCAAAGATCCCAAGGCATCAGGCAGCCTGGCAGTACAGCTGTGTCCCTCTAGCCCCTTCCCAAACTCAAGCAAGAATGCAGACAAAGTGTGCAACCTCACCTTTCAATGGGTCCTGCTTGTTGCAATAAACAAAACTGACATTCAGTAACTCACACTGTGATAGCCAAATTGCCTGCTAGCTTTTTGTGTTTCTCCCCTGTAGCTTCGATGAAATGGGTAAATACGATATTCCAGCAGAGCTGTACTTCATCATGAATAAAACTGGACAGAAGGATGTATACTATGTTGGTCACTCTGAAGGCACAACAACAGGTAATGTCAGGACACTCATAGTTCACAACGATACATGTTCTTGCACGATCAGTAGGTGGGTCTCCCCATTGGTGCAGTTGTTTTTCTTGCGTGTAGAGAGCTAGCAAATGTAGAATAGAAACTCAAATGCCTTCTGAGTTGAGATTTGGAAAATATGAAAAACTTTTCTAAAACCAACTTTGGCTACCCTTAATAAGCAAAGAAACTTAATAACATACCCAAATACAGTTCAAATTTAAATAATTAGAAACATAAAAGTTATTATTTACTGAGTACCTCAGGTACTGGCACTGGGTATTAAACTCTCAGCAACAGGAATTTTCATTAAGTTCACCTTTTGGATTAAGACATACAATTGTTTTCCTTGTGAACAGGAAGGAAAAACTAAAAATATAGAACAGCACATATAATACATAATTTCAAATAAGAGAAGACAAGGAAAAAAACCTTCAACATTACTAAATCAGATGATTTAATGGCAATCTAACAATTTAAATAACTGGCCACATTATTATTTAAAAACATATTACCAGAGACTGAAAATCAGGAAAGAAAAAACATTAATAACTTATTTTCTCTTAGTGTCAGCCTTTAGCATTAACTCACTTCATGGCCTATGAATGAAACTAACTTTCTTTTAGCATCAGCTGAAAGTTCCTAATGTTTATGTGTAAGATCCATGAATGGACACTGACTAAAATTGAGCAACTGCCAGTTCATTGTGTAAATTACTCAGAAAAAAAAGAGATGGAAATGTGGGGAAATCATATATTGTCACAGCTCCAGACCTTTTCTTTATTTTCCCCCCACAAGGGTATTTAAAGACCTTCATGGCAAAACAAACTAGCCATCTAGGCTTTCTTCAGCTGCCTTTGATGCAAACAGTCAGTTGAAAACACTCAAAGCTCCCAGTATTCAGCTAATTATTCTACAGTTTCATGGAAGCATGAACATACATAGACCTTTAGAGACTATAGTCTGAAAAACTAATTTTTTTAGTTTTTTGAACTTTAGAGGGAATTGATTTTATCACGAAACTGTTCTGATAAAGGCAATGTCCAGACATGCTCTAAACCTCTGAATGAACTTTGCTTCACAAATAAAATTCATTTAAGAACTTAGCTTCAACACTTGCCTTAGGTAAAACACGCAGCACAGACCAACATGGACAACAGACAATGGGCTCCAAATCTAGGTCTCACCTCTTGCTTGCAACCTACTGCTTATTTATTTCTTTTGTCTGTGGAAGATGCCTACACTAACTCAGGCTATCTCTTCTGTGTTTGCAGGCTTCATAGCATTTTCTACATACCCTGAGCTGGCTAAACGGATAAAAATGTTCGGTGCTCTGAGCCCAGTAATCACAGGTTCATATGCTACAAGCCCTCTGGTTAAGATAATAAGTGTTCCTGAACCTCTGCTCAGGGTACGTTATTTTTCCTTCTTAGAGACCCAATACCTGACTTACCTTCAGAGGGTTCACTCAACCTGAGATGAAGTGTTCCCAAACAGGTGATACACTGATACTGAACTTGGGATGAATCGAGTGCTCTTGAAAACTCTGTTCCCAAACTCTGTGGGGAAAATACTGGAGATACAGGGCTTGTAGCAGCAGGTCCCAGTGAAGCAGACTTGTGAAACTCTGTCTCATCATAGGACTCTTGCTGTTAACTAGTATTTTCTGACCTCATGTAGGAGGAATGAAACCAGAGATGCAATAACAGCCATGACAATCTCTGGGACTTCAGAAATGAGTGAGCACTGAGGTCACTACACTAGAAATGGAAGGATTACTTCCTCCAGGATTGATGCCAGTAATACGAAGAAGGAAGGATATGTAATGCACTGTGGGGAAGGTGTTTTAAGGGGTACTGGGAGGGCAAGCTGTTTCAGCAATCTTTGCATACTGAGCTAGACTGCTAGGCTATTTAGCAACAGTTTCCTGCATAAAATGGTCCTGTAACAAGGAAAAAAAGTTGCACTTTTCCCTTCCCTCAGTTAGTATTTGGCTACAAAGGAGCTCTGCACCAGATCGGATTTCTGAGAGGACCTGTCACACAGTTATGTGCAAGCCTGGATAAGTTTTGTGGCCATGTACTCTGCTACATAGCTGGAGGCAACATAAAAAATCTGAACACGGTAAGTGTATGCAAGAACACCTACTCAAAGTAAAACTAAAGTGATTTTGGAAGTTACATTTGTGTTGTGCACTCTATCCTTATCGAGTAAATATTACTCATGTAAACATATGTAAACCATAATGTAGTTCTCACCAGACCAAGGGAATGCCAGGACATTGTTGGGCGTGAACAGTGCCAAACAGGACCAAAGCTAATGATGTATGGGACCAACAACGGGGAATATTCCAATTGCCAAAACAAAGAACTGAATTCAGTCTGGAGTTACACTGCACATGCCAATAGATATGCCCCCCTTTGGAGCTAAGCCAACCAGATTTTGGTCATACATAAATGCTCTTTAAAAAGAACCCATAGATGATGGAGTAAGCTTCTTGGTAACACAGTTCCCAGTTTCCTTTCTTAGCATGTGGACACCAGGGTCCTCTAAATACTGGAAGAGAGGAAAAAGCTCCTTTTCTCTTCCCATTTTCAGACTACTTGCACCAGATCTTGGTCCCTAAGAACTACTGTAAGGGGAATTTTCCCATTTTGTTGTCTTAGAACTAGGTCCAACAACTCAATCCACAACATATAGATCTACAGAAAGTCTTTGCACTGTGTCTGAGAAGTGCAATGTACCTACAGTGAGATTTACAGAGTAGTGCATCAGTCAGAGGGGACAGGATAGACAGGAGAGTTGTCCCTATGCTTGCCAACACATGGACACTGTAGTGTGTCTTAAATCCTCTTTATAGTCGCCAAAGTATGGAGAAACTGGCCCGTGTAATGTTTGTTACTGCAACATGTGTAAAGACTGGGGCCCTTTTTTCTCCATCTATAACAACTTGTAAAAGCACATACAGGAAAGCAGTGAGAATCAAAGGTTCAATGCAAAAGCAATTAAAGGCATTGCAGCCCTTTTGAATTGCAGAACTAAACCATTAAGGATCTTCCCTGACTTGGATTAAGTCACTTATGTGGTTCTCAGGACAAGTTAAAAAGTCTGGGAAGGAATCTGGGGAGATGGAATTAGAACATCTCCTCAACAGAACCATAAAAATGCAAAAAGAAGAAAAAGCAATCTGTTTTGTAAACTGAGTTCTTTAGCACTAGGAATAAAGTGAATAGAAAAACAGATCTTCAAAAGACTTACACATCCATGGATGTTTAATGTGAGGTGAGGAATCTACTTTGAAAGGACTGGAAGGTTTTTCTCTACTGTTGATGAACCACAGGGTGCCACAGTAACACTATCTTCATGGAACAGACTAGCTTTCATGGAGAAAGCATTCTGATGCATACTGTCATCCAGTTATTCCTAAATCTGCTTCTCAGTTTTCTGTCTGATAATTGCAGCATATCCTATTAAAATGGAGTTTTAACACAGCAGCAGTATGTTGCTCAAGTCCTTCACAGCTTTATTCTGTCACAGCACTGGATCACTGCCTTTATAACACTTCTGCTTTCTCTCCAGAGTCGAATAGATACATACGTAGGACATTCCCCTGCTGGAACATCAGTGCAGGACATTATTCATTGGCATCAGGTATAACGGCGTACTGACGTATAAACAGACTCTTACCACTGCTTTTATGCAGCCAACAGCCTACAGGGAAATCTAGATGCAGTGGATCTGGGAAAGTGCCCATCACACCTTCTCACGTGCTGCCATGAGCACCTGCCGCAGAGGGAGCACTGTTTCCCATGGCTCACCAGACCATTACCTGAACTGCCCCTTTGGTATCAGGCACTGAGATTTCCCCAGGGCACATCAGACCTCTCTGCATGTTGGGCTCTAATGGCTTCCAGCCTTCATCTTTATTTATGAAGACATTTGCCTTGAAAGCTGCAGAAGTGAACCAAGCCTGGTCCAGGCACTTGGCAGGCAGTAGGAGGATAGTGGAAACTTGCTCAGCCTGGGGATGAGCCAGACAAAGAAGTAATGTAGGTTAAAGCCTTTCTCCCAGAGTTAATTGCAGCTTGGATCACCTCCCAAAGCCAGTTAACCACACAAACGCTTCTGCTGGCACAAGCAGCAAGTGGGGAACTGCCTTATACTACCTCAGTACCTGGCAAGAATCACTGCTCTTCAAGAATGTTCCCAACAGCCAGGTTTTTTTCAAAACCCTTTTAGTCACTTTTATAACTGTCCAGATCCTGGATTCCAGTTCTCTAAAGGTGGATTTCTACTTGTTCTGCTTGTGGTCTGAATCAGACCAGGGCAAGACAGCTCCAGCCAAGAAATACATCACTGCATGTGTCTAGGCACACCTGCTGAGCCAGGACATATCTGCGTACATCCTGTAGGCAGACCCCCCATTTCTGCAAACACTTCATATGGTCTAGAAAATAGTTCTGCTCCTGAGGACACCCCTGACAAAAATCCCCACAGGATACACCTACCCAGAACCAGGAAATGGGGATAAACCATTGATAGCCAGTGTCTTTACAGCCTATTTTTCCAGCCTCTAATGAAATCAAGTGGCTACAATGGGAACTCTGATACAGCAGGATAGAAGAAATTAGAAAAGGCAATACAGCAAGGAGATTTCTACCACATTCCCAGTTGAAGCCTTGAAGTCAAGGTTTTCTAAACTGACAGACACTGACTTTCTCTCACCCTGTATTACATAAAACCGTTCACAAATGAAATTACTTGTGAGGTTTGTGTAAAAAAAAATAAAAATAAAATTACAAAAACCCCAAACAAACAAAAAATGTCAAACAGATATGTACTGTATCTTCACTCATCAGTTCTGCAGGGCATATATCAAATCTTTTAGTCAACACAGGCTCAGGAATGCTAATGTCTAATGTTCCACCTCAAAACTTCTGTCAGAGCACAACTCATGTATAGCCAAACTCTTGTAAGTACGGCCTCTGGAAATGTCACCACTACTGTGAGCAGATCAGACAAAACTGTCACACAAAAGATGTCTAAGGAGAGGTCTTACATTACACTGGACTAGTAATAGCCCTGACACATTCTAGATGTTCTAGACATCTGTCATTGTAACAACTGAACCCCAGCTCTGCATCACAAACACGAACCCCAACTTTAGCACAATTTTAATAACAAAACATACCAAGGATGGCAGCTGAGGGTCAGGAGAGAAAGTCAGCAAGAAGAAAGGCAATGAAACCACTTGCCCTACGATCCATTCTAAGTACCCCTGGAAGCCCACAAACAGGAAGGAGTGGGAGTTATTCACAGTCCACTGCCTGAGCCTTGGTTTCAATCACAGGCAAGAAAACATCTCCCACACTCTGTTTCTTGGTCTCTCAACACTTACATTTTACCTGATCTTTTAACAGATAAGATGTGCAGGCCAATTCCAAGCTTATGACTACGGCTCTAAGGAAAACATGAAGAAATACAACCAGGTAAGGCAATGCAGTTTCCTGAGAACTCATCCTTGGGTCCTGGCAAAAATAAGAACAGAAAAAAAATATCAGATTTTAGCACCTTAAGTGATAAAGAGGGGGAGAGTGGTCTGAGGTAATGTTTCACCTGAATCTAATACTCATACTTGTAAGTCTATTCACAGACAAGGCATAGACAGATCCTTGCAGACAGCTAACAGAAATCTGTTTTGCCTCCCCTACTGATGCAGGGATGTGTCCAACATGTCAATTTACCTGCCATTCCCAAAAGGCTAAGAGCCACACCCTATTCCTAGGACTGGATGAGTATGCAGCTCTTCACTTCCCCAAAATCCTCAAGCTCTGCCTTTCAGTTAAACACTAGACTGGGGCAGGGAGGGTGGGGGGAGTGGAGTGGAAATGTGTACCTTGGTGTTGGGAAGCTACCTACCGTAAATAGAAATAGACAGTGAAAGGGTGGCTCTCATCCTTATTGCTTTATTGTATTGAGTGCAGAAAGGAGAGAGATGCTTGCACAGAATCCTTTCTCTAAACACAACTTCTGATGCAACAGCATTCACTCAGGTCTCCTTCTTTCTTACAGTCTACTCCTCCTACGTACACAATAGAGAAGATAGGCACACCAATTGCTGTTTGGAGCGGCGGACAGGACAAATTTGCAGATCCAAAAGACATGGCAAATCTACTTTCTCGGATTCCTAATCTCATTTACCATGAGCATTTTCCTGCTTGGGGACATCTTGATTTCATCTGGGGCCTTGATGCAACTGAGAAAATGTATAGGAAAATCATTGAACTAATGACAAAATACTTTTGAAACCACATGCAGAGTGTTGATGCACTCAGCAAAAATCTCCAAAATTTCTATTTGGCAATAAGAGTGCTACCTGGGGAAGAGGTAAACACACAGACACACATAATGGATACCAGTGTATGTATTTATTTGCATATGTTCATATCTTGCTTTCCTCACAGCTTGAGGTTTTCCATGGTGTTACTGTGACTGCTGTCTTCCCGAGAAGTTTGAAGTGTGTAGGAATGAAAGCTGAAAACATGAATATATTTGAGCACACACTGCAGGGATCACTTAATGTGGACAGATTTTATTTCTACAAGAGTAATTTTCCTAAATCTAAACTCTGGTGTTCTCATGTACATCTCATGTACCCCACAGAGGCATTCCCATGCCCAATTTCCGTCTTCCCATGAAGAGCCGGAAGTGGGATTTTCCCATTTCTCTGTTGATGTACAATTGACATTTGTTTAAATTAAATCATTTATCCACTTGACAGAGAACTTGGGGTTTTTTTTTCCTTTTCCCCTCCTCACATTTACCTGCAGCATCAACACAACCAAGAGATCTTCAGACACAAGAAAGTGATCAGGCAATAGATAACTTCCAAACATCAAGCCATCCAATCTCAGAAAAACTCATAGAAGTATTCTCCTGCCCTCCAAGCCTACACATCACCTGAAGGTTTGTTCATGGACTCTAAACCCCCCAGCTTCAAAGACCATGTATGGCAGCTGAGGAACAAGGAGATGTAGACCTGCCTGTTAGGCAAGCTGCACTCCACACAATACAGCTTCCACGTTGACACTGGCAATGAAGTTATTGCAAGCATTCTGAGCTATCAGCTTTGACTTTTACATAACTCTGTGTCTTGACCATTCTTTGCTCAATGATTGCTACAACATGGGAAAGCAAACAACTGTTTTCCTTTTCCAGCCATTAACCCAAAGAGGTAGCATCTTCATTATCCATGCAAGTGTCTCACAAGTTGATTTGGTAGGTAAGAGTGTCTATCCCCAGGTTACACCCAAAGTGTTCATTATTACAAGCTCAGACCAGGTAGCTTTGTTTCCCAGAGCGTTTGTGGGTGGGGTCTCAAGCTCATATTGCCCAACCAAGACACTTCATAGTTGTCAGCATCCAATAGAACAGTTACAATAAAAAATATATATGTATTCTGCAACACAGAAAAAATACACCAGCTTGTTCATGCACCTAGTCTAGCAGCCATGAGCAGTGCTGATCATGGCATATATCATCTGAACTTATGACAGCTTACAGGAAATGGCCAAAACTGTCATCAAAATAAAGATCCATTAGACCAAGAAAGCAAGATACAGCAGCATTTGAAAGGAAATGCCCCTTTATTGCTGCATTATTAAATCACAAAGCGCCAGGCCACATTAATACATTGCTTACCACTGCAGGTTTTCTTCTGCCTTCACCTATGCAAGAGAAGAATCATTAATTTATTATTATTTTTGTTGCATGCATTACTCTGAAAAGCATGCCTCTTGTCCAGTCCTGTGGGAAAGATACCTCCGGTTCCCATCAACAGCATTTCATTTATTGATTTTTTTTTTCTTTAGTACAGTCTTTTTATTGGAAAGATAGTTGAGAGACTTGTTTCTCTACTGCACCAAACATGTTTTCATTATTATCTCTTAATGCGTTAAGCAACATGGGAATTTGCTTTGTGGTCTCCAGCAACTCATTTAATCTCTTTTTGCTGTTTCTTATATGAAAAAATAGAGAACACAATCCTTCCCTGGTAGCAACATAGTGATAATTAAGGTGTGTGAAACTTGTAGTAGGGATGAAAGGAGGAAATGCTAAGCTGAGAGATCTATTTTCCCTGTCACTCCCATAGTAGGAAAAGAAATACTAAGAGGAAGAGTACCAGACTTTGTAATTGCCGTGGGTTGTTGTTCAGTTGTCAAGTGTATCCCCTATGGAACAAGTAACACACTTTCTAAAGAATATTTTATTTCTGCATTTGCTGCCAACCATCTTGTGTAATGTTTAGGCTTCCAGAAGTACTATAGCTAGCTTTCAAAGTCCATAGTCTATGCAAGTTAAGTATAAAACTGGGGAAGCAGATGGGAAGGGCAATATTTTGAACACTACTGTAATCATTCACAGTTTAGCAAAATCAAATGAACTCCTTTCAGCCCGTGTGGCCTTGGGAGTACTGAGAAGTCTCACACAAAATAGTCAAAGTCTGCAGCAAAGAATGGGTGGATTTGGACCAAATCTTTATCAAGTAATAGCCCTCAATGTTCTGCAGGACTCCGGCTCCTATGCAAGATGGATTATTGGATGAGGTAATTTTCTGCATGTTCAAAAGTCCTTGATGACTAGGAAGTTTTCATTAGCATGTTTTCAATGTTGTGGAACTGCAATCTTCTTGCTATATCTAAGGGAGTCTCCCCATTCTGAAAGAAACAGATGAAATATATTGCAATATGATAGATATGGGTCAAATACAAAGAGCTTTCTTGAATTTGCCACCCAGATGCAGTGCTCTCCTGCACAAGTTTCACTGTCTCATCCTTGCTCTAAACCAAAAGCTTCAGAATGTGCTGGGTCTAATACTAATCTCACTGAAGCCAGGAGCAGAGTCCTCCCCTCCAATAGTGACGGCCATTCCACTGTTTCCTGGGGCTAACGTCCAAAGTCAATGCAGAGCTAAGCTAAGAGCTGATTTCAAGAGCAACATGGACAATACATTGCTCACCTCAACTCAGTAATGCAGATACTCCCAGGTCAATATTTATTTGGGCAACATTTGAGCTTTTCTGATGACAGAAGCAGCTTGACTTAGCCCCTCAGAAAAACACTGTCAAGTGGCACAAAAAGGACCTAGAAAGGCTCTTACCACTCTCCTGCAGCCTGCATTTTAGAAAAAAACTGTGTTAAGAAGAGGTACTGTAAAAATAACAAAGAGATCTGCCAATCCAGTGAACATGCAGGCAGTGTTCACTGGTAGAAATCCAGCAGCAAAGGATTTGGACATTAAAATTTCTCTTGTCAACAAAGGAAATGGAGCAAACATTGCTTTATACCCTACAGCAAATAAGTCTGCTGCCAGAAAGCTGTGCACCCTTTTTTAAAAATGCCTCACACCAGCTAAGGCCTACAACATACTCGTTCACCACCATGATAAGGAAATACAGTCATGAACTTCACCTTCTTACCTGATTCTTTACAGAAGTGTCTGCATGAGCTTCAAGCAGTAAAGGAATGACTGCCTGGTTTTTCATTTCACAAGCATAATGAAGGGCTGTGCAACCAGACTGAAGGAAAACAGAAGCAGATGAATTTTAGTTCTGTTACTTCTTTAGTAGACCTTAGGCAACTCTAACTATCTGTAGCCTTACTAGTTTCCCTGTAACAGCTGGATGCAAAAGGCACATACCATTTCCTGTGACAATACAGTACACAGCAAAACAAATAAATTCTCATAAGAGCAACAGGAACAAAAAAAAAAAAATTCTTCCCGTGATGCAGCTGCTAGAACAGTTCTGATACCTTCAGCAGGAAGCCAATAGTTCTTTACTAATTTCAGAGGATTCCATGATCTTGATTTCATCAACTATGTCTTAAGCAATATTGTTTGCTCACACTTCAGTGTTTTAGAATTTGGTTGTTAATAAAATTGGGAATCCTCCTTCTCTGTCTTAGAGTAGAGGAGCTCCTTACCACACCCAGGTAGGCTAGTGGATAGAGAACTCTACATATGGAAGGTCAGCACACTCTGAAGACCTAGAGAAGACACAGGATCTAGCACTGTGGCACGACCTTTGCCCATAAATCTGTTACAGTCTAAGAACTCGTAAATGGTGATAAAGTCAGACCCTTATTTCACTAGAATCTTTACAGGATCAGGTATTCAATATGTAAGTATCTCAATACAGCTTACCTGGATTCTCTTAGAGGGCATTCGTCAGAAAGGGAAAATTAGTTGATCAGTGGAGAATTATTTCTGTGTACGTTACAAAACTATTGCCTATGTGTCAAGGGGAAACATCGAATCCTACTGGTACATCACAGTCAGTTCAGTCCCTGATCCTATGAAAGCAGGACTATGTTGCTAGAAGATTCTGAAGTCTGGTTTTAGTATTTTTGTATGCATACAAGACACATTTGCATTTGTATAAACCCACTTACAAAGTCTGTAGCATTAACATCGGCTCCAGCTCTAAGCAACATCTTGACCAGGTTTTCATTCTGTTTAGTCTTTGAGATCTGTTTGGTGCAAGGGAAAGAGTAACACACTGAGGCAGTTCATCTGCATATAGTACTACGTAGATTTTGACTAAATACTGTGTTGGTTTTTTTTTTAAAAAAAAAAAAAGTGTCTGGCTGCTGCAAATGCCAGACTGATGTAGTGATACAATTTTGTTCCTTCACCAGCTATATTCACAGCAAAATCCCTGCCTCTTCTGTTGCTTTCCATCAGTCCTTGCTTTAAAGAAGCAGTCCATATTCTATACAGGTTCCTGGCATGAAATACTGCCATGAGAAAGGTGGTAAGGGGAAACATACAGGGTCTTTGCTGCTTTCATCCAGACTCACCATGAGAAGATATCCAATAAGCATAACTGGCATGAGGATTATGATGAGCACATAGTCAAGGAAGGTAAATCGTTTTCTGACAGCATAATGCAGACAAGTGCGGTCCTTCTAAATACAAAATAACTGATTAGTACCAGATTCAGTGATCTGATTATATCTGTTTAATATTGAAAATAGTAGACCAATTTATATTTCACAAATTTTCTTTTAGGTTATCTACTAGAAATATTTCTCGAATTTTCAAGCAGAAACAGACACATGCATTTTGTTTCCCTCAAGTGGAAGCACATTTAACACATAGAGGCTCATGGAAATTGGGCTACATGTGCAAGAAGAATGTGGGATCCAAAGATTCCATGTGTATGCCTGTGAACTTGGACAAGGCTTCATAGAGGCAGAGGGCAGTGGACATCTCATGTGGCTACTACGACTGTCCAGCATGTTAAATCAGCAGGAAGAATTCATGCAGCTCCTCTTCCTATAGAATTATAATCTGGGGTTATACTAATGCCTCAGTTGAAAACAAACAGTTTGGCTGTGTTTGCCAGTGTCCCCATACATGCACTCGAAGAATCTGTAAAAACAGTCGCTGCGAGCAAGTCAGTGGTCACTTACCTTGTTTCTGAGGTTGACATCAGCATTTCTTTTTAGAAGATAGCTAACTATCCTGTTGCTTCCCTGTTTACATGCACAAATTAGGGGGGTGTCTCCACCAAAGCTGTCCTGGATGTTCAGATAGTTGCTGTTGCGCTCCAAAAGGAGATGAACTTCTTTGAAATCGTTATTGTAAGCTGCCTGACAAATGGGCTGAAGGGAGAAGATAATATACATCAGCACACGTTTCCCTAAGACACCCATATTTCCCATTTCCCTCATACTTGCACATCTTCAGACAGACAAGCACTTCTGACAGAGGTTGTAGTTCTAAGTGACTTCCAGAAGATGGTGGTAAAAGATACTCCTGCAGCTGCCACACAGCAGCCGGCAGCCTGAGAAATCACAGCCCCTTCGCAGTGGAGTGAACTTTCTGTTCATTTTGGACGGTGTCTATCATCCAAGAAATAAATCCAGTTCATCTGCAGCCATTAAAAAAAACGGCTGCCAATTTCACAGGAGTTGGTCGCTGCGGCAGCAGCACTGACAAGCCCACGCCTCTCTAAGTTTACAGCAGGCTTTGCCTTGGGATGAGCACTGCTGAACAAGGGGGACAACTTCTGACTCATCAGTTCCCAGAACAAAACCACACCTCAGGTGAAAGTTGAAAAAAACAAACCCCAACACTTCTTCTTTTCTAGGGCTTGAAGTTAAACTTCATACCTAAAAAATACATGCACATATGCCCACAGATGAGATCCTGCTTGACTTCTGAGAACTGCTTGCTGCTCAAGTCTTTGCTCAGTATTTCTACACACCCTTGACCTAACCTGCAATTCTCTCCCTTTCCAGTAGCAAGAACTCAGATTAAGGAGAGGCTGAGAATGACAGGAGTACTACAAATTTCTAAGGGCCTAATCCAGGCAGAAAATAACAGCAAGTTCTCCAGTCAAAAAGAGAATGTTCCTTTCTTTTTTTTTTTTTTTTTTCTGTCTTCAATAGTGAGGTTTTTATTCACCATTTTCAAAGATAGGCATTTTCTTTAAAAATTACCACAGTTTTTCCTTCCCATCCTCCCTTATCACATTCTAAATACACTATATGAACAAGATCTAGCCCTGAATTCTGAGCCCTTTCCTCACCCTCCCCCCTCTTTTTTCCCCACATTAAAAAGATTCATCTTATTTACACTTTTGCTTCAGACAAAAATTGATCTACAACACAAGTTTACCTCCAGCATCATTTCTGCTTATTCTTCTGGACAGCTGCATAAGAGAAGTGATTTTCCTTTTGAAAGAAAGTATTTACATGCTTACCAGATCTTGTACCACTTCTTGTTTTGTTTTTATTATATCACAGAACTCTACAAAGAATACTCCAATACTGTAAATTTGCACCTGTCTGTATTCTTACAAAAGTCTACATATGCCATTTGTTATTATACACTCCTTCAGAACCAGAATCATTATAATGATTTTGAGGAGAAACCCCTCTTTTAAATCCCTCTTGGTGTAAGTGACCTACCTCTGCCATCTAAATGATCAGTTTACTCTAGAACCCCACTCTCTGTCTTGTTGGTATATCTTCATGTCCAGGAAGTGGAGTCTGTCTCCACCTCTAATTTCCCTATTATTCTTGCTTTTAAGTATTGCTTTGTTTATTTAAAGACGCAAGAAATCTGCTGACCTGCTCAAATCCCAGACATTTACCATACTACTTTATTCCCTTCTAGTCTGATTCTTGCTAGTTCAGCAGCTTGTGTCACCAAATGATAGGCTTTTGTGCTTTTGTTTCTGTACTGCCTCAAAGAGTTTTACTTGCTAGGCCATTAAGCCTAACACATTTTTCACTGATACTCTCATTGACCCACGGGTTTTTTTTCCAAACCTTAGACTACTGTTGGACCCAGTTCTAGAGCCACGAATAATGATGGAGCACTTACCACTCTCTAGGAGACTACATTATTTGGAACTGAAGTCATGCACGGAGACTCGCACATAAGAGACATGTTGCTCTTTTACCTACTGAAACTGGCTGTTCTCAGAAAACAGGGTATAGAGAATGTAAGGAAGTCATCCATTCCAACAGCTAATATATGAATAACAGATGTACTTAAAAGTATTTTTAAAAATTATTATTATTATGCCACTGCAGTGGGAGTTCTTTGTAGAATCGATTCTTTCACACATTAATATGTTCCATTCATATTAAAACAAAAAAACAAAACCTGAACTTTTTTCCTGGTTTTATGGGATTTTTTTGAGTCCCACTCTGATGGTTTGCATTGTAGAAAATGCCTCCTTTAGTCAGACAAAGGTGAGAAGTCCCATAGATCAGACTTGTAATATACCTCCCAAATTGACAAACATGACTCCATGACTGGAGGAGCAAACATAGCAGAATATTTAAGTAAGAGAACAAAGCAATACAAACAACTATAAGCTCATTATTTGGATATCAATAACAACAGGACTTCAGAAAAAAATGTGTTAGAGAAGAATAAAGATAAGTAAAATTACAAATAGGTGGCAATCAGTCACTTGTGTAAGAACGACATCAGAAACAGCAACCAGTGCCAAACATTATAATAGGCAGTCTTTCTCACAGAGAGAGGAGAGAGCTATTACAGAAGGCACTTAGCTGGGAGAGTGGACACAGTTCTTGTCATCTGAGTCCAAAACTGAGATCAGAATATGGCAGAAGTGTAAAACCTCTACACAACTGAGGAATATAAAGAGCCTGAAGAAAGACTGATTTGCTTAGATTGGCTAGAAAGAAAAGAGACAGGGCTGTAATTCCAAAATAAATTAAAGGGTAAGTATTAGAGAAGAAGAGACAATTAATTTCAAGGACTAAGGTGATATATCTGGCCAAAAAGTTTAGCATGAAAATTAGAAAGAGATTTCTAGTCACGTGCAGAGTAAAGTTCCAAAACAGTCTTCCAGTAGCAGCAGAATAGACACAAAACCTGACTGACTTCAGGCTGGAGCTTGGTAAAGGTGCAAGGATTTCTGTAGTTGTGAAGCCTCTGCCATAAACCCTCTTCCATCTTTCGTTTTTTTGGGTTGCCACTCTGGCAGCTCTATATAAATTAGGACTAACTGTGCTTAAGATTGTTTTAAAGAATTCTCCAAACTTTGCTCAGAAGACATACACACAGTTAGACACAACCTGTGTGGAATATCAGCAGTGGGGCCAATTATAGAGTTAGAACAATGTTATGTACAAGCAGTAGATTCCATCCAAAACCCAGCTGGGCATCATGTGCAAGACAGAAGCAGTATCAGAAGAATCCAAAGTTCATGTCTCAGACTTGGGCTCAGCTGTGGAGAGGAGCAGGACTACAAGTGCAGAACTCTCATGGCAGTGTAGCACAGCCAGGAGAACCCCTGCAGCTTTCCTTGTTAGAGATGCACTGGTAACTGGAGCACAGACATAAAGTCTATGGCATCTTCTTTAGGCACATGTGAGAAACAAAGGCCAGTGCTTCCACAACAAAAAAACCCCAAACCTGAAGAAGGCATCAATGGGAACCAAGCTCACAAGTTCTAGGGGTGCTGGCAGTCCAAGACACAGAGTGACTACTCTCACCTACACCACATTATTTATAAACCCATGTCCTGACCACCTCAGAGAACTCAGAACAGACCTAGCCCACCTCCACAACGTAGCAGGACAGACCCGGCACAGGCACATCAGACATTACACCCAAGACAAACACAGGCTCTAGGTCTGAAGGGAGGAAAAGCAGGATCAAAACTTCCAGCTTAGGTAAAGAGGAAGTGAGCACCTCTTTGAACTGCCTGGCAGCAAAGCCCTTCTCCTCTGCTCTCACTCACCCTTTTGCAGCACCTCCTAACATTCAGACAAGAGGCACACAACGAACCTGACAGTGTGATGCTGCACAAAACATATGATGGAAGGGAGGGAAAACAGAATCACAACACCAAACTCCTTCTACCATCACGAGTGGTGCCTTTCCCTGCTGCAGCATCAGGGCTGACTATGAATGAGAGCACATGGCTCTGCCTGACTAAAGAAAGCAAAGGACAGACACTGTGGACTGCAAATTAGACTTTGAAGATTAGATATGCCAATCACTGAGTAATACTGATACAAGCCAGGTGTTGAAAGGAAAACTGAATGTGCAGTTCTAAAGCAAAACCTCTATAGTTAGATTAGAATGTCTGTTTCAGCTATACTTCTATAAGTCCTTCAGAAGAGGCTTTCATTGTTCAGTATCTGAGGCTTCGGGAAAGGTGAGAAGCAGTCATAGGACAGGCAAGGGTTTTCATGGCTGAGATCACTCAGTACAAGATCACCAGATAAGGGATGCAAGAAAAGTAAAAAAACTCCCTATCAGGAAGAAGGACAACACCTCACAGAACTGGTTATTTTTTTATTATTATTTTTAATCAATTGTGGGCAATGTGATTGAAATCCAGGCCTGGTATGTTACTCAAGTCCAGAAGAACTGCTACATCTGAATTTATCTCCTTGTTTTCAGAGCTTCTTGAATCTTCTGCTTAGTTTTGCTGAGGTAGTGATAAACCACAAGCTATTTGGCAAGTTCTACCACGTATTAAATAAAGGTTAAAGGCACGGCAATAAGGACAAAGCATTCAGCCAATAGAAAGAAGGCTAAGGTAAAGCTGGTCTTGCAACTGGGAAAGCAATTTCAGATTATAATTGCTTCCTTCTTTGAGAACTGCAGAGGATTGCCTAAATTACATCAATGCTTTGCAGTTGTTTAAATAAAAAGGAGTCATATCATAATGTCGAGACATTCTGAACCAATCCACAGTCTCTTCATGGGCACTAAAATTCATCCACAGACATGCTACAAACTAAACAGGAAAGTGTAAATCATGTTTGTGACGCTGAGTAACGCACTAGCATCCAATCCATACACCTCAGGACAGGCACCTTGCACTTTCTTATTTTCACTTCTCTAGATTTCTATCCTGTATAAATGAACAATACTTTATCCAGAAAACTGCACCTCACTCAAAATTTTTAAAGGAAGATAACTAATGTATATGAAAGTATTAACTAGTAAGCATGGAAGATATGGACAGCATTTGAATCTTATCTAAACACCACTTTAATTAAGCTAGATGACACTAGCTTCTTGTACAATACTATCTCAGAGTAGTAGATCTGGAGAGAGGCAACAAATCCTTTCACAACAAGGTGCAATCTCCCAGCCCATCACCTTATGAATGCACAGATTCAAGCTCCCTATAATACTGAAAGAGGAGAAGATACTTGATTTCACTGAATAGCCTTTTAAGAAATAAAACAGTGGCTTTCAGCATAGAAATGTAACCTTTGAAAGAAACAACTCTGTAATGCGATCTCCAGGAAAAGAAGCAGCCATGCAAGCCGCTACATTCATAGTCAAAAAGGACCAAAATCCTCATTTGTTCCCAAGTGTACAAACAGAAAGTTTATAAAATAATTAATTTGTTTAGGTAACATGTATGCTAAAATCCAGAGTTATGCTAAATGGACCGTGGTCTGGGGACAAAACCATAAAGATAAGAACTAAAAAAAAAAAAAAATCACATTCCTAAAACAATCATGGGGTAGGGGGGGAATGTTTCCTTAGGCATTAGATTTATTATCTACATTCAGCATAAACCAACAAGTTGTTTGCATTTTGAAAATTTGTTTGTTATTTGCACCATGCTGAGAATCATTCTGATCTCAACACAGCACAACAAAAAACGTTGAACACATACTTTCTTTGTGAAGTCACAATAATTACACTGGCTTTTGCATTTTCTTTACTTCTACAAACAGTACTTCTGTCAATTTGTAATCGATGTACAGCATTTCCAAAGGAAAAGAACTTCCAGATCTGTATAAGCCTGTGTACGGGGGGCTGCGAAGGGAACAAAGCAATCCCAGTGAATATCCATACCTTCAATAGCTTTGGTTACTGTGCAAAAAATGGTCACGTACCTCTGAATAGAGTATCCCCATGCCTATTCTTCACTGCTTGAGTTCGTTCTTGTTCACCAGCCTAACAAGTTAACCTCACTCGAAATGCTCCTGAGCTTGTTTGAATCTGGTTAATATTTAACTTTAAACTATCACTCTTCCTTAAGCTACACTTCCTTTTATGTGCTTTCTACTTGGTAGCATGAAACAATTGTCTTCAGAAACCAAACCCAAGGAGGTAAATGTGAGAACAGCAGCTTATGGGAGACTGACAGAACAAGTTACAACACAGAAGCATTTTCCTTTGTCATTTTTGCAATAACAGCCTCCAGTTGCCTAAAAAGGAAAGTAGCAAAACAGGTTGAGGAGGGGAGGAGAGAGAAAGAGAGAGGAAGAAAGTTTCACAAGTGAAGGAAGGGAGGGGGGAAACAAAAAAATAAGCGTGAAACCTAAAATTTAAAACAAGTAGCTATGAATGCTAGCTAGTTTGCCACCCAAGCTACTTCTGATTTAAACATATTCCATCCCCTCTGCAAGAACACCTCCAGACTCCTACCGGGAAAAGGGAAGCAACTAGATCGCACACCTTTAACAAGAGTTCCCTGTATAATTACCTTCACTTATTAAATAGGCCAGATGCTTTCATCACCTTTTACTCAGTCTTCCTAGCCCAGCCCAGACAATGAATATGATTCATGTTTAACCTGCTAATTTTATATGTTAATTGCATTAGAACTTTCTCAGCAAGAGAATTACTGTTGATGTTTCCACCCTCTTTGTGTGTTCATGGCTCTGAGGATGCTGATAGTACTTCTGTACTACACTCAGACAGTCTCTCCACGTAAGGCATGCATATTTAAAGTGTCTTCAGATCCCCAATATATCTTTTCCCTTTATAGTTTAAATTAACATTTCCTGTAATTCAAGTACATTTTAAAACAAGTTTTAAAATATATGCATGCAATCATCTGTCTTAAATCCAAGCCCTCTACCTTACATTTGAGAACTTTTATTTCCATATAATATTCATATTTATTCTCCAACGAGGTGGAGGACTGTGTAAAATTACTTATACTGTCTCTATCCTTCTCTGGTTAAAGTAGTATAGCACCACTGACTGTACTGTTAGTTTGCTGGCACCAGCTCTAACTTTACCTGAAGAAAATTAGGTTGGCTTGTAACAGAAACGTACACTACACCTACCAGTATTGGTGGATATTGGATTCTCCCAACAGATTGATCTTTCAGTATGTGGTGAATATTCCATTGGCCTAAAGACATGGAAGAGTGAGTAATACCTCAAAGGTGAAAAGGTATTCCTTGCCAGTATTTCTTCACATCAAGATCCTAAGGAATGGACATCCTCCTACATTAACTGGCCAGGTTGTTGGAATTTATAAACTACAACTTGGTGAAAGAAAACCCAAATTGCTCAGCTGTTAAATATAGCAACATAGTAGTTTACTTAATCCTCTCCTAACACAAATATATAAATGCATGGTAACGTGGAAAAGTATTTAAAAAAAAACTCCAAACCTTCCACCACATAGCACAGCAATAGCTTCAGGCAACACTTCAGTTGTTGCCTGAAGTACTTCAGGCAGTACTGCACAATGTGGAGCACAACAGTCCTGTAAAAGTTAGTGAGGATATACATCTTCACAAATCTGCTGACACATGTATGCATTTTCATGACCAGTGTTATCCTATATGGTAAACCTTAATTTAAAACTGGCCAAGTAACATAGTGACTGGGCGATGCCTCAGCAGACTGAAGCATTTGATAAACAGATGGCTTCCTTCCCACACATGCCTGCTCAACAAAAGGTAAACATCTGGCAAATGCAGGGAGAAAACTGATAAGAACCACAAAAGTGAAGAGGATAGGGTTCCAAGACAAAAGGAAGAGCGTGTATAGACCATTTCCTTAAATGAACACTACTTTTGTATTTACAGGGTTTGCAAAGGAGACAGGAACACTCATATTCCCCTTTGTGTCCCCCGCCCTGCCCTGCCCTGCACCGCCCCCCCAGCCTGCAAATCATCAGAGATGTGTTTAGAGGCACAGGATACCTTGGGGTGTACCTAAGAGAGAGTTGGCAGACACTGGGGGTTAAGACATACCTGGGCACTTCATGCTATGTGCGGCTGTAGGCCAGACCACCTGGGCATCAAAGTTTTGGTCCAGCATTTTCAAAACAGAATACTTAGTATCTCAGCTGCCATGGTTCTCTAAGTAAGGACAGCATGTCCTGGGAAGTTTCTGTATACCTTTTAGATTTTGTGTTTCCTATGCTCTTTATATATGCGTTGCTTTCATTGTACCTTTTTCCTATTCACGTGGGTTTACCTATCTTTTGTTCTTCACTCGATTCTTCGATTCTTACCAATAATATCAGAAACAATATCATACATTCTGTATGCTGCCATGACGTGAACCTAGGTAAAATGCTGCAGATCATTCCAAGCTGACAATTCTATTTAAAAAAAAAATAAAATAAAGAAGTAGTATGATGTTAGCTGGGAATACAGCACAGAAAATTCTTCTCTATCTCTCACTTAAGCAGGAGCACCAGACTTGCTGAGCTGTAATGTTTTTCACTAAGGAATTACTTTTTTGTCTTTTCCACAGACTGCACTCTATGAGCAGAATAGTTTCTGTGGTGACTCTCAGGTTCTGTTTACTAACAAAGACTTACTTCACTCCATTTGCTCACACAATACAACAGATGATTAGCACCCACATTGCAGAGAATTGGCTGCACCAGGGCACCAGGCCAGTTTCAGTGATGACTGAGCCCCTGGGCTGACTACAATTAATTTAGCAGTTAGACAGAGGTCTCTAAATATATTGTGTTTTCATAGAGTTCATGGAAATGGCTTGGAAGAAGCAAGAAATCTTGTTACCATCCTCTCTGAGTCAAAGCTAACACAATGTTTTCAACCTTTATTCAACACCTGAGAATCCCTACAGAAGCAGGCTAATTCAGAGAAAACTGGTCTTTGCTGTTATGGTGTTCACTAAACAACAGATTTAGGAATATGTGTGTGATGCTAAATACACATCTTTCAAATCAGTTGTATTTTTATTCCAAGTTTACCTAACAAAGAAGAATTGGTCACCAAGCAATCTGTAAACAGCAATTCAGAAAATAAGTGACAGGTGTGGAACCAGTGACCATGCCAGTTTTTGTACAAACCACAGCTGCAGAGACCACGCTAAATATCCTAACCACAGATTAGACGCCTCTTTACTTCTCTTGTTCCATGGTGCAATTTGGTCTTTCAGAATGTCATGCAATGGTGCTGTTTATCATAAAATAACTCCCCTCCTTAAATAGTGCCAAATCAGCACTCCTATACATAGAGACATCACACAGCACCCTACTGCTGCTCCTTTTATTAGCGCAGGTTTCTGCCTGTGAATCAGCCTGCTATTGGAGACAGACCAGGAACTGCAGCAGAAGACACAAGCAAGGCAGTCAAAGCAGAGGTAAGTTGTTTGTACATATGTGTTCATGGTCTTTTTCTCTTCTCTTGTCTGTCTCTATAAAGATGTTCAGTCTTGATTTTGTACAGTTGCTTGTCAGAGTAGACAGCCTGCATCCTTTCTGATCTGCAAGTCTGATGCTATGCATCAAAGTGCATGTTCACTAAAGTTGAGAGGGAGAAGTCTCTGACCTGTACAAATGCAAAAAAAGAGTAACTGATGGTTTCATTTTGTTCTATTTGTTGGGGTTTTTATCTAAGGATGACACTGTGGATGCATGAAAATCTTGGTGTTGAAAGTGTGTGCATAAACTGGACATTTTGCTCTCATAGTTCCAAATGCATTTAATCTTTCCTTGTAAGTTAACCAGGAGATTCTGACAACTGCTAGCCCTATTAACTACCCTGGTGCCTTTCTGCCCTGTTCACAGTGTATGTGGAAAAAAAAATATTATGACTCTTGAAAGAGTACACTGACAAATTTCTAGAAGGTTTAAAGCTTATTATCATTAAATATCAAAAGTCTCCAGAAATGTCCTTCTGAATGTATCTTTCAGGTCCCTTTCCCTACATTTTTTTTTCATTAAATATGTCAGTTAATTCCAGTTTATGGTAAATGCCGCTCTTTGGCATTGTTTCATTACATAAAAAGGCTAGATTGCTGTTCAGGGCTCCTACAGTCAAGATGTTGCCACTGAAATTAATGACAGAGCGTGTGCCAAGCCTTGGAGTTAATTGGTGCAATCTGATTTACAAGCCTTCATCTGAAGTGCCTTAAAACATGCCAGATAAGCCAGGTGACAATACAGAAAAAAAGTATACCCAAAAAGGGCAAAAATTTAGCTACCTCATTGCCTCACCTTTAGTGCAAAAGCAAATGTGACTTAAGTTGAACTTCCCGGTTTTGTTCCCAAATGCAGAAACAGAGGAACATGTTTTACTTCTGTTTGAAATGAATAAAACATCAAAAAGCAGTGGAGTATCTAGTATAAAACTGCTTCCAGAGCACACAGGTGGGAGGATTTCTGTTCTATTGACAGAAGAATGGAAGTATTCTCCTACAAAGTGGATAGACTAGAGTGAGTTTGGATGCCAATATTAAAATCATGGGTATATCCCAGTTTTGGTTTAATCCAAACGTTCTAATGACTCAAAGGGGTATGATAGATTTAATCAAAGAAGAAAATAACTGGGAACACTCTCCCTCATGAAGAAGTTCAGAGAAAACAAATCTTTTGGCTACCATTTCCAGGCTCTCCAAATCTTTAAAATCTTCCCCATGATATGTCAGATAATACACTCTGGCTTTATGACCTGTCTGTTTCCTCTGTGCTGATTACAAAGGTGGCTACAGCCAAGAAGCAGGGCACTAAGTAGACAGACTGCACTCTACATTTTTTATTTAGAAAAGCTTCCCTGTGAGCATCAGTCAACCCCTAAAAACCACGAAATGCAGTCTTTCCTCCAGGAGGCCAAGACACATATTTACAATGGCAAGGACCATATGTGAGAAAGAAAGGAAGGAACTCATGGCACGAACTAGCACTGATATCATACAAGCACGTTCCTCTAGGTTGGTTCCACACTCTTCTGGAGTCTTTGACTCATTCCTGCCCCCTTGTTAAATGGGCTGAGCTATGGACAGTCCTTCCTCACACAAGTAGTCAATCTGGCAGTCCCGAGGGGAACAGACCTTGGGCAACCTTCAGGAGACTCCCCAGCTGGGTCTTCCTGTGGAATTCCACAGCACACTCTTCCTAATGCAACCACCCCTGCATGTGCTCTTTCACACAGCCCCAAGATGTGGTGTCTCCTCGTGTTGCTCTGCTCCCAAGGAATTGTCTTTTCAACAGGATTTAGAACACCCTCCGCTCTGAATTCAGACACAAGCCAGTACAGGAAGACTTACAACCCTGAAACCTTTATGAACGTTGTAAGTTGGGTCACCTTCTCTCTCTTTCTAAAGCATCTCTCTTACTACCACCACCTTATCACTTCAGTCTCTGTCAGGAGGCTAAATGTAGGGCCCCTTCAAAGTGGTCCCTCCATCACTATGATAGGGAGTACTGGCCTAGAAGAAACCTTGATGCTCCTATCCAAACAGTCTGAGCTGCCAGAGAGAATTCCTTTGCAGTGGAGGCAAAGACTGGTTTCTAGTCTCAAGGGAAGCAAAGTCTTCCCCTTCTGTAACAATCCATTTGCTCAGTACAGTGCCAAGGGAGGTTGAACCCCTTCCTCAAACAGAAGATTCTCACAACACAAAGTAATCCAAGGCACCTTGCTCTGAATCATCAAAGACTTCCTCACAATAGTGAAAGACTGTAATAGGGGGTGCTGTGAGTGAGTCTGAAATAGGAGACCCACCCTACCTGGCTTGCCTAATCACACTTTGGCAAGAAAGGATTCATTATGGACCAAAACCCACAGCTTTTGGCACTGCCTCTACAGATACTGTTACATATTTAATCTGTAGAAAGGTATGATGTGTATCAGCCTTGCAAAACATGACAGACTATCACCCAAAAGGTTAGTGGATCAATACAGTTCTGTCTTGTCCCATAATATGGGGTCCAACCAGACAACTATGACCTAGGCAGATCTGAAAAAGACTTTGATGTATCTTTTTACAAGACCTGTAATAATTATTCTCATCCAGGGTCCCTGTGGCCAGGGACCTCACACTGCCATCACAGAGCAGCCACATCCACACTGCTCAACTTGGTTACCCTCCAGAGGAGGATGGCTTTATCTGAACTGTTTAATAACATCATCCCTGAAGTCTAAAAGAACAAAGAGGCATCCATGAAAAGTGGTGGACAGCACTTAGATACTCAGGGAAAAGCTACTCCCAAGACAGTCCTAACACATAACAGCACATGGAATCAAGCTGCAGGGCCCAGGAAGAGTCGCATTTACTGCACAGGTGAACTCTGTCCTCCTGCCACCATCAGAAGCCTGTGTAGTGCTTGAATACCACTGCTACAGCAATTAGTACCTAGCCAAAACCTAAGCAATATGCGGTATGTCAGGAAAGCTCCAAGTATAACTAGGTGTTCCTACCTGAGCAAATGCAGCTCTTGGTATTCCAATTTGAGAGATACAGCATTAAAGAGCATACACAAACCACATCACACAAACACAGCTCAACTCCTCTCATGTTATAGCATATTATCTGATCATTCCCAAAAGAAAGAGGCATGGAATCTCATTTGTGTCCCTCTGACCAGTACAACACAGAGCAGTAAAGAAAAAGCCAGTGATATGTTATCACATTCATCTTCCTGGCATCATCTTGGCTAGCTTCACATTACTGTCTAGAAGCAGCCATTAAACATTTTCTCCACCCACCTCTACACTGTAAATGCATGTTAACAAGATCTCCTTTGGTTTCCCACAGAGTGAAATCATCAGATATCATGGATACCCCAGTGAGGAATATCAAGTTACCACAGAAGATGGATACATTCTTGGTGTTTTCAGAATTCCTGCCGGGAGGAACAATCAAAATACAGGTGTGACACAGTTACAGGACATAAGGAAAGTCTGAGAGCCAACACTTACATGGGTTCCCCATCCTTCCCCTTTGCATATGTGATGGTATCTCAGCAACAGCACCTAGTCAGGAATGTTGCCTGAATTCTGAATATAGGTTAAAAATCTCCTGCAAAACCAGATCCTGCACCCCAGTTTTAACTATACTTACTACTACTGCATAAGAAAACCCTCTTCTTTTTCAGGGAAAAAGCCTGCAGTGTTGCTACACCATGGTACTTTAGGAGACTCTATTCACTGGATTTCTAACCTGCCCAACAACAGCCTAGGCTTCATCCTCGCAGATGCTGGCTATGATGTCTGGTTGGGAAACAGCCGTGGAGATACCTGGTCTTTAAAACACAAGACCCTTAAGCCCTGCCAGAAAGAATTCTGGCAGTTCAGGTAGTCTGTGGAGAAAGAATTACTGAAGAAAGCAACTTTCAGGGGACTAGCAAGATTAAGCAGTTAATATTGGGATTCAAAACCTTTTTCCTTCTGGTCATATGAAAAAATCACCTTCTGGATTATATGAAAACCTGACTGGTTTTCATACAATCTGATTTCAAGTGGGACATCCAGCATCTAAGGAGACCAACTCTTTTCCCCACATGCAGAAACTGTGGGCATGTCAGGGGGGTCATAAGAAGGGCTTGGCTACATGATCTCGACAGGCCCTTCTGCAATCAGCATGTATAGCATCAAAGCTGGAAGTACACAGGTCACCTTCGTCCATATACACTGCTGATTTCTCTGGGGAAAAGACTTTCAAAACAGTGAGACATCTGTAACCTTGAAGTCTCCCACCAGATATCACGTCCCAAGTGCAGACAGGAGAGGAGACTGGTCAGCTCAGTCTAGAAATCTGATCTATCACAACTGATGTTAACTGAGGGAAAAATATTTTCTGTAACCCACGCTGGTGAGAACAATGATTAAATTCACTTCTACCAGAACCTCAACTAACAGACAAAACTGGCACCTCCTTTGCAAAGATCCCAAGGCATCAGGCAGCCTGGCAGTACAGCTGTGTCCCTCTAGCCCCTTCCCAAACTCAAGAATGCAGACAAAGTGTGCAACCTCACCTTTCAATGGGTCCTGCTTGTTGCAATAAATAAAACTGACATTCAGTAACTCACACTGTGATAGCCAAATTGCCTGCTAGCTTTTTGTGTTTCTCTCCTGTAGCTTTGATGAAATAGGTAAATACGATATTCCAGCAGAGCTGTACTTCATCATGAATAAAACTGGACAGAAGGATGTATACTATGTTGGTCACTCAGAGGCTTCAACTGCAGGTAATGTGTTTATGATTTATATATAATATCCATAAGTAGATACTGGGGTATTTATGCCATGATGTGCCATTGCCCTTTTACAAAAATAAACTCAGAAACAGAGAAGAAAATGGGGGGAAGTGGCATGTAGACACATTTTTAGATAATTATTTTCCTTTCTTCTCATGTGTGCATTCTAAGGGTCCTTTTGCAGAACAAATCATTCAGGCCAAGACATCACCTTCTTTGTCTTTAGATACCTATGTCTTAGGCAACCAGTTAAAGTTCTCACCAAATCCATCAGTGGAGAAATTTACACACGTTCAGAAAACAGGATGGGATACACCCTTTTAGGATTTCCTTCTTTCTTCCCCATACTCTTCCTTTATGCATACATTCACTCTCACCTAAGTTTGCACTTAGTTACAAGTAAAAATTCTGCTCTTAATCTTCAGGTGATTATTGTGTTACTGTATGCAAGCATAAACACGCACAGTCTATTTTAGAGACTGCAGGCTGAAAAACTTATTATTTTATTAGGATTTGGGGAACTTAAAAAGGAATTTGAATTACAAAAATCTGACTAATGCATTTTCTCCCCAAAATATGGCCTTAAAATTTTCAGTTCTAAGAAAATCAGTATGTGGCTATGATCTAATGAACCTGTATCCTTACAATGAACTCTCTCTCCCAAACGAAAGCTTCAAGAATCAAACGCTTTCCTCAGATCTGCAGCACGGAAATGGACAACAGCCAAGGGGCTGCTAATCTAGTCTCATTTCCTTGTTTCCTACTGGTTTTTTTTATTTATTTTGTCTGTGGAGATCTTTTCAGTAACTTGACTTGTGTCTTCTGTGTTTGCAGGCTTCATAGCATTTTCTACTTATCCTGAGTTGGCCCAAAGGGTTAAAGTGTTCTTTGCTTTGGGACCGGCAGCCACAATCACCTATGCTACCAGTCCTCTGGTAACACTGACACGTCTTCCCCAATCACTGATCAGGGTATGTAATTTCTCTTTCTAAAAGACGTAATTGTCCGCTTTGTCAGTTTTGATGGGGTGATGATTTAAGAATGAATTCAGTGTATCAGACTGCTGACAGTGGTGGTAGACTCCAGAGTTTCCACAGAGCTAAACTTCAAGGCTTTATACGGTAATCTCTTTTGCACCTTCTTTAAGATAGCAGGTATACTTCCACCATTATTTGTTTAAATCAAATATCTTTGAAAGGAGCTCACAAATACCAGAATAAAAGGAGTCTAACATAGTCTACTAAATCTAGCCTTAAGCACTAGTAGAAAACTATAAATATCTCACATCTTAATTTTATTAAACATGCAGTTCATTTATGCTTGTGAAATATTTAATTGTAAAATTATAAAGGAAAATTAAAAAGAAATACCTCTTTCACACCAGAATTTGTCAATTTTATAGAATTTTCTGTGAATGGTGGAAACTCTGCATGCTGTACTTTATGTCAAACTGCAGGAGTACATCCTCTTTCTGCCCAAGCTGTTTTCATTACATGACTATAGAGCATCCCTTCTCATTTGTCTGCTCCCTCTTTACTTAGTAGCAATACTCACAGTACAGTTTCTGCACCTTCCTGGAAGAAATATTAGGAAAAAAGGACTTCCTATACTCTAGTCATGAGTGCAGCCAAATGCCCTTTCTCACTGAGGTCAGTGCACTAAAACCAGATGGGTAGTGACCTCCAGGACTCATGCCTAATAAGAAGCAGTAGGAAAAACATGTGGTGTACTCTTGGCAAGAACATATTTTAAAGGATACTGGGATAGCAAGCAGTTTCAGCAATCTTAGTTTAAGATGCAAGGCTATTAGAAAAGAGGGAGTGACAGTTTTCTGCATGAAATAATCCTGCAACAAGGAAAAAATTTTAATGCTTTTCCTCCCATCAGTTACTATTTGGCTGCAAAGGAACTCTTCAACAAAACGAACTGCTGAAGGGGCCTCTAACAGAGATCTGCAGAACTCTGCAAAAAGTTTGTGGCAGCATCTTCTGCTACATAGCTGGGGACAGGATAGAAAATTTGAATACGGTAAGCATGTCCAAGAACATCTTAATACAAGTAAAGCTAAAGTAATTTTGAAGGAAAACAATTTTTCTGCCTTATGTCTACATACAGTTGCAGAGACATAGATTTTAAGTAATGCCAACTAGAACCTCAGCTGATGATGAGGTGTGTCACCTGACACAGTCAAATCAAACAAGGAAGAAAGGCTGAATTCAGAACAGTGCCATCTTGCAATGATGTCTCTGAGTGTCTCCTCTTTTGGGACTAAGCCAAAGAAAAGTTGAACAGATACTGAAGTTTTTTAAAATGGACAAATGAATGGAGAAAGATCTTTTTTCTTTTGCACAATTCATATATTTCTTCCTAAATAGAAAGATATCCAGATCATCTCAACGTAAGAGATTGTTTCTTATTGGTTGCTACACATTAAAACATTACCAGTCAAAACTTAGAGCTGTTTCTTCACACTTCTGTCAACAGCAAGATCTCATTTCTTCACTCTGGCAGCTGTCTTTTCTTCTTGCAGACCTCCTCTACTAATTAAGCACAGAATTATTTTAAAGCATCAGACAAACTGTAGAAACTGGGAAAAACAAAGACCACAATCCCTGAGTAGTTTTCCATATGACTAAGCACTAATGTGGGACTCCCCCAAAGGGATAAAATTACACATATTAATTACTACTGTAAACTCATATATTTGTGAGTCTCTCCTCAACTTTCTTTTTGATATTTGCAGAATATCCTAATAAAATGGGGTTTTAACACAGTAGCAGTATGTTGCTCAAGTCCTTCACAGCTTTATTCTGTCACAGCACTGGATCACTGCCTTTATAACACTTCTGCTTTCTCTCCAGAGTCGAATAGATACATACATAGGACATTATCCTGCTGGAACATCGGTACAGAATGCTATTCATTGGCATCAGGTATAACGGCGTACTGACGTATAAACAGACTCTTACCACTGCTTTTATGCAGCCAACAGCCTACAGGGAAATCTAGATGCAGTGGATCTGGGAAAGTGCCCATCACACCTTCTCACGTGCTGCCATGAGCACCTGCCGCAGAGGGAGCACTGTTTCCCATGGCTCACCAGACCATTACCTGAACTGCCCCTTTGGTATCAGGCACTGAGATTTCCCCAGGGCACATCAGACCTCTCTGCATGTTGGGCTCTAATGGCTTCCAGCCTTCATCTTTATTTATGAAGACATTTGCCTTGAAAGCTGCAGAAGTGAACCAAGCCTGGTCCAGGCACTTGGCAGGCAGTAGGAGGATAGTGGAAACTTGCTCAGCCTGGGGATGAGCCAGACAAAGAAGTAATGTAGGTTAAAACCTTTCTCCCAGAGTTAATTGCAGCTTGGATCACCTCCCAAAGCCAGTTAACCACACAAACACTTCTGCTGGCACAAGCAGCAAGTGGGGAACTGCCTGTTCTGCTCACCTCTGTGTCACAAACTTTACACAGAGGGACCCCAACTTTAGCTAACTGAGGTAGTCAAGAACAATTTTAATAACAAAACATACCAAGGATGGCAGCTGAGGGTCAGGAGAGAAAGTCAGCAAGAAGAAAGGCAATGAAACCACTTGCCCTACGATCCATTCTAAGTACCCCTGGAAGCCCACAAACAGAGGAAGGAGTGGGAGTTATTCACAGTCCACTGCCTGAGCCTTGGTTTCAATCACAGGCAAGAAAACATCTCCCACAATCTGCTTTTACTATTAACACTTTATTTTTTGTCTGTCTTGTTACAATATTAATAGCTAACACGTGCAGGCCAATTCCAAGCTTATGACTACGGCTCTAAGGAAAACATGAAGAAATACAACCAGGTAAGGCAATGCAGTTTCCTGAGAACTCATCCTTGGGTCCTGGCAAAAATAAGAACAGAAAAAAAAATCAGATTTTAGCACCTTAAGTGATAAAGAGGGGGAGTGGTCTGAGGTAATGTTTCACCTGAATCTAATACTCGTAAGTCTATTCACAAACAAGGCATAGACAGATCCTTGCAGACAGCTAACAGAAATCTGTTTTGCCTCCCCTACTGATGCAGGGATGTGTCCAACATGTCAATTTACCTGCCATTCCCAAAAGGCTAAGAGCCACACCCTATTCCTAGGACTGGATGAGTATGCAGCTCTTCACTTCCCCAAAATCCTCAAGCTCTGCCTTTCAGTTAAACACTAGACTGGGGCAGGGAGGGTGGGGGGAGTGGAGTGGAAATGTGTACCTTGGTGTTGGGAAGCTACCTACCGTAAATAGAAATAGACAGTGAAAGGGTGGCTCTCATCCTTATTGCTTTATTGTATTGAGTGCAGAAAGGAGAGAGATGCTTGCACAGAATCCTTTCTCTAAACACAACTTCTGATGCAACAGCATTCACTCAGGTCTCCTTCTTTCTTACAGTCTACTCCTCCTACGTACACAATAGAGAAGATAGGCACACCAATTGCTGTTTGGAGCGGCGGACAGGACAAATTTGCAGATCCAAAAGACATGGCAAATCTACTTTCTCGGATTCCTAATCTCATTTACCATGAGCATTTTCCTGCTTGGGGACATCTTGATTTCATCTGGGGCCTTGATGCAACTGAGAAAATGTATAGGAAAATCATTGAACTAATGACAAAATACTTTTGAAACCACATGCAGAGTGTTGATGCACTCAGCAAAAATCTCCAAAATTTCTATTTGGCAATAAGAGTGCTACCTGGGGAAGAGGTAAACACACAGACACACATAATGGATACCAGTGTATGTATTTATTTGCATATGTTCATATCTTGCTTTCCTCACAGCTTGAGGTTTTCCATGGTGTTACTGTGACTGCTGTCTTCCCGAGAAGTTTGAAGTGTGTAGGAATGAAAGCTGAAAACATGAATATATTTGAGCACACACTGCAGGGATCACTTAATGTGGACAGATTTTATTTCTACAAGAGTAATTTTCCTAAATCTAAACTCTGGTGTTCTCATGTACATCTCATG